TTTGATTTGCAAAAGAACCATTGCCATATCCGAGAAGTACACTGACACTGTTGTTACCATAATTAGCAACAACGATATCTAGTCGTGTGTCATTGTTGAAGTCACCAACAGCTACAGAATATGGATAAATGCCAGTTGAATAGATAGTTTGATTTGCAAAAGAACCATTGCCATATCCGAGAAATACACTTATAGTGTCGCTCAAATAATTAGTAACGACGATATCTAGTCGTGTGTCATTGTTGAAGTCACCAACAGCTACAGAAGATGGATAAATGCCAGTTGAATAGGTAGTTTGCTTTGCAAAAGAACCATTGCCATATCCGAGAAATACACTTACTGTGTTGTTACCATAATTAGCAACAACGATATCCAGTCGAGTGTCATTATTGAAATCACCAACAGCAACAGAATATGGCCAATTGCTGGTTGGATACGCAGTTTGTGGTTGAAATCCTTCATCGTAACCAAAGAGAATATCTATACTGCCAGTATCATTGCTGATGATAATAACGTCAAGAAGATTGTCTTTATTGAAATCAGCTACAGCAAGCGAAATTGAAGAAGAAGAGCCAGCTGAATTCATTGTTGGTTCAGAAAAACTACCATTGCCAATTCCCAGCAATACGCCTATGTTATTAGTACCTTTATTACTGACGACTAAATCAAGTCGATTGTCTTTGTTAAAATCGCCCAGATTAATAGAATATGGTGAGGAAGTATCAAGCGAATATGTTGTTTGACTTGTAAAAATGCCGTTGTTGTTTCCTAGAAGTACACCGACATTGTTTGCTCCATTATTAGCGACAGCGATATCCAATAAGTTATCATTATTAAATTGCCCAACGGTGAGTGAATATGGATGTGAATTAATTCCAGTTGAAAATATCTGTTGATGTAAAAAGGTTCTGTTGCCATTTGCAATAAATATACCTATATTATTTGTACCATAATTTGCAATAGCAAGATCTAAATGATTATCGTTGTTGAAATCTGCACCGATGACTGAGAATGGTGAAGAATCGTAGCCTGTTAGATATGTGATCGGATATGCAAAACGTCCATCTCCATATCCATAAAATATGCTTATACTATCAGTTCCATAATTAGCAGTAATAATATCGGGTGATGTATCATTATCGAGATCAGCTATATGTATCCAGACTGGACGAGATGAATCAGTTGAGATTACTGTTGTATTAATAAAAGAACCGTTTCCGAATCCAAGAAATATACCGATGCTATTAGTACCGAAATATGCGACAGCAATATCCGTGTGATGATTGTTGTTAAAATCACCGATGGCTACCATGTATGGAGCAGAATGTAAACCGGTCGAATACATCATATTACTTGCAAAAATACCATTATTATATCCAAGGAATACAGATATACTATCAACGACACTATTGGCAACAACAATATCCAACAACTCGTCATCGTTGAAATTGCCAACAGCAACAGATCGAGGACCAAAGTTATATTCCACTGGGTTTTGATTAGTTTGTATAAATGTTAGTTCACACTGTTGGACTAAATAAACAAGGTAAATAATGTAAAACTTAATTATTCTTATTGAGTTCATAGAATCTCATGTAGTTTTTGAGCATGCAAATATTAAGTAGATGCCATGTATACTTATTCACTTCCTTCCATTTATTGTAAAATTATTAAAAAAGCGCGTTGTTTTGGAGGAAGAATAAATTATATTATTGACTCACACTATCTGTTTAAGCTACGTTTCTTCTCAATCATATACTTTCTTTTGTAGACTATTTTTAATTGCAAATTCAATACAATGATAAAAATTCTTCAAATATAGTGGACGGAATCAATTGAATATTAGTTCTATTCTATGACGATAATGAAAAACAACACACAGACTATAATAAGATGATTATCGATTGATGTGAACTCTCCTTCCTCAAAGAAATATACTAGTTCTATTTATTATTTTATCATACTATTACTATGAAGAGAAAGATGCTATATGATAATATAATAAATTTATATCATATATGTAGTTAGTATATGAAGAAAAATCAGAACATACCTCTTGTTTTTTGTGAAGTCAGACAGACTATTAATATACTTGTAACGATTGCTAGTATTGTGAAGAGACCAAATGCACCCACAGCTGTTGCCGTTCGATGTCTTGACCAACACGAATATTCTCTAATGAAAATACATTCTATATATATTATGAGGCTTGAAATGAAAAGAAAATGGCATACAAAGATGTTGGAGTCATTGGCAACTTCTTTATTTTCTTAGTAATATTGGCAGATTCCACTGCATTAGACTGGTTTTGTGTTGAGTTCTCATGTTGCACGTTATCGACATGAATATCTTGCTCAGTAAATGAATGTGTAATTCTTATACCATCATTATTCATAGAACTTTCATCCATCTATAGTAGAAAATCATATTTAACAAAAGACAGTATTTAGAATAAATTTTCTATCAATTACCTGTTGCATTATTAAGTATGTCCTTTGAACGTAGAAAATCTGCAAATTTTCGACAAATAAGAAAATTTCTAAAAGAATAGATCAATTGATGTGATACTTTTAATCTAGAATATAGAATATGAAATGTTAGAAAAATTCGTATGTTTTCGAAAAAATTTCTAAAACTTTATCTGCGAATTGCTTCTTAATCAACAGAAAAAAATTCAAATTGTCTCGAACGGATACACCATTTGAAACAGTATGAATCTTATCTAAATATAAAACATAAATATATATTAAAAATATGTATGTAGAAAACAGCTTGAGCCGATATACAACTTCTTTTTCCTCGGACTGATTTTATTGAGTTAACTAATTTTGGATACCTGTACGTAGTTGATCAAACTAAAAGGCTGCACTAACACTCTTTCGATTGATATCTTTGTCTTCTTAATTTACTTTGCTCATTAAATCGTAATAAGAAATGATTTATTTCAATTAAAGACTGTCATACAAATTCACTCGATAGATCATTTTGACCTTATGAGTTATAATTTGATGTTGCTTATCAGTGCTAGTTTCGACGATTTTTTATATAACCAAGAAAACTGATAATCACTAGAAAAGACGATTAGCGGTAGTTTCTATCGAACAAAAGAACAGGAAAAATGGTATATGAAACCAAAACAAAATAAAAATCGAAAAAAGTTATAGATAAAAATCTATTTTCCTATAAAAATAAAAGCTAGTACTTTACAAATAGTAATAGTTAATTATTCTCAAATGATTCGACGAATAATATTTATTTTCTTTAATACTATTTCAGTTTTAAACATAAATAAAAGTATAAAAAAAAAGGATGATACTTACTTCTATTTGAATTTATAGTATGCGTATCATTTACTTTTTCGTCTGAATATTTATTCTCACTGATCAATAAGGTTATTATCTAATGGATACTTTTTTTTTTTGATACATATTTGGTCATTGTATTACTGTAATATTTACATAAAAGATTTTATCATAGAAAGAAATAACATCAAAATCAACATTATAGTGATATGAATATTACGAATAATATTCATAATCATGTGACAGTTTGATGCGCATTTATAACGTATCTAGATTTACCATTACTTTAATGTTATTGATCAAGAAAAAAAGAAAAAAGTAATTACTTCGACGTAAAAAAATACATATATTGTAATGATACGATTTTGATTTCTTTCTTTTGTCGTAAGTATGGATTTTTTTCTACCTATCACATTTGTGGTGAGATACAGATGCGCAAAAAAAAACAAGTTAAAAAAATGTGATTGCAGAATAGATAAATGTAATTTTGTTGACGATCATTTTTATAACTAAACGGATAGAATAGACAACTGCATTTCAAGTACTGTTGTGAATTGTCAGGTCATTCGACTATATCTATTTGCAAATACTCTCAGGCAATTCAAATATGGGTTTATTAAGTTTTCAACGATCATCAAAAATTTTTCCATTAGCAGCAAATGTCATTATTTAAATAAAACGTGTCTGTAAGAATTTGATTTTCTACTATTTTTTTTTCGAAAAAACGAATATAAAAAATAATAACAGAAATGAGAAACTGAAGAAAATCATAAATTAAAGTTTAATAACAATTCAAGAACCATTTATGTTTCTATAAAAATATTCAATAGTTGTTAACTAATTCGATCAATGATATATATTTCCTTTAATTTATTTCAACTTTTTTTTTCTTCCAATAAAGAATATCGTTCACTTTTTTGTTTAAGTATATATTTTAACTGATCTATAATTGGGAGTCTTTTTTAGACATAATCATTTGTATATTAATATAGATTCTGAGTTTTTTTCTCATTTTGGGTGATATGTAAAGAAATTTGGTTGAATCAACAATGAAAATAAGAAAATATCTCTTTATTACAAATTCAACTAATAAATATATAAAAACATTGATTCATTCTTAATAAATGCAACTAGTAATACTTAAATATTTAATTTATTTCATCTGAAGATTTCTTTTCACTGATTAACAAAGAAAAACATTTCATTGACAAATCTTTTTTTTATTTGAATAATACGCACATTGTTTAAGACGCATGTTATTAATGAGTGAAAGGATGTGAAAAACAGCAACATTACTTCGATTTAGTAACGACAGAATATATGCATGTATAAACATGACTCATTAGTTTATTGTATATTATCAACGTGGCGTCTCTTCTTTTTTTTGTTTCGATTACTTCTACCTTTGACTATTATGAGTTATACCTCGAAAAAAAAGGTAATTTTGTAATAAGAAAAAAACAATGAATCGTTTGCTATTTTTGAATCTCTATTTTATTGTATGAAATCGAATATTATATCTAAACTAAAGAATATAACTAAACGTTTTTGTAGTATAAACAACTCTTGATTATAATATCAAATGAAAACCGTAAATTGACTTACGAGAATCGAATATCCTCTTTATACAAGAAAAATAAAACTGCTTTGAATTATATATTCTTATTATAGTAGAAGTAACTAAATTTGTCATAAAAAAACAACACTTTGACTTTCATAATCAATGATTATAATGAATATTGTATACAATGATTCTAGATTACAGAAAATGACACTATCGATGCCATGGAAATCGACGGTTTGTTTTCGATAGAAAATTACTACTACTAATAGAATATTTACGATGATCAGGCTTAGATGTGATATTCAGGTTTAGGATTACTACCACATCTTGACGTATATGCGTTTGCCATTTACTATCGTTGTCATTTAAGTTTTTTGAAACACGGTGAAGATGATTTCCTATCACGCTTTTCTGATCAGATATTCATTTCTATAGATAATAAAATATAATACCAGTTAGAGAAGTTCACTTTATACTTCTCTTTCTGTCCTGTATGATGTTGTCGCCTGACGATATATAAAATCAAAAAAGAACGATGTTTTTAGTTTCTCTCAATACGTCATGTTTGTTGAGAAGTGACTGTACGATTAAGAGAGGCTACATTGTATGTATCTGTGTATTTTACGCACATATTAAATCCCAAGAAAGACATCTATTGAGTCTCGTTCAATTCAATTCGATAGAAGAATTTTTAACAGCATTTTTGTAGAAGTAAGTTATAATATAATGAATCATTTTCACAATGTAGAATCAATATATTGAGTTTATGATAAACGAAAACAAATGTGTAAGAAATGAAAAACATATTATATGTATATATATATAATACAATTACATTTCTCTATTTATTCTTTATGTTGTTTGTTTAGTATAGAAAAAAAAGAGAGAAGATTTTGTCTTTGAAAATAATAGAGAAATAATTCGAATGAAATAAAGAAGAAGAAAAAAAAAAGAGTGTCACCATCATAAAAGAAAAAAGAAAAGACAAAAAATGAACAAATAATAGAAAAGAAAAAAACATAGATAAATACTAAGCAATTGATCATGCTCAATTTGTTTTGATAAAATTGATTTTGATAATGTATCAAGTTTATTTTGTTGTTCTTGAACTAATTCATTATTATCATTCTTTTCTTTATTTAAACGAATTTTTAATTGATTTAATTCATCACGTATTAATTCATGTTCCGATATCAATGAACGATAACGTTCTTGTTCACTTCGATACGAATCTTCAGCAGAAACGACACGTTCTAAAAATTAAAAAATATTAACAGAAAATTTTTCTTTAAAAATTACCATTTGTTTTATTTAAATTTTCACGAAGTAAAACAATTTGTTTTTGTGCTTCTATTAATTCATTAACAGAATCATGTCCATTGATATTATCATATTTTTCTGTATGATTATGATTAACAATAGGATCAATTTGATCTAATGGCATTATTGACTCATCATGTGTTTCATTTTCTCCATTTTCTTTCAATATTGGAATATCAATAGAATTATTATTTTCTATAATTGGATCTATGAATAATAAGAAAAAGTATGATACTAATCGAAAAGGATTGTATTATTACCAAGTAAAGAAGATTGAACTTGAAATCGACCATGAGCTGTTCCATTCTAATAAAAAGAAGAAAATAAGAAAAAATTTAATTAGAAAAACATTTTCCTACTTGTATCGATTTCTGTTGTAATTCTTCTAGATGATATGTTCGTTGATAATATTCGTCAAAATCATTTTGTATTCGTTGTTTTTCAATTTCTATATCTGTACATCGTGTTTGAGAATCCTGAAAATGATAAAATATTTTATTTTTCTTATTAAAAATCTCGAGATCAATACTCGTAATTGTATTTCAATATCTGAAATCAACGAACGTTGTTCATCAACTGATTGTACAAGTTGTTGAATATCTTCTTTCTGTTGTTCATTTTGTTCATTAAAACGTTTCAATTCATCTTGTGCTATTTGTAATGAACATTCAAGAGATTTACTTCGACTATTCGCATCTGCACAATCAATCAATGCCTTTTCTAGTTTAATCTTTACAAAACAAAAGAAATTAAGCGTTAAATAATTTATACAATCAGTATTACTTTTGATTCTTGTTCAAATTTTGTATGTGATTCAGTTAATTGAACTAATTCTTGTTTTATCGGATCTTCATTCGGATGCTAAAAGATTAGGAAAAAAAGATAGTTCTTCTATAAATAATATCAAAAATTTCTTTATACTTTAGTACGATAAATACGAATTTGATCTTCTAATGCATTGATTCGCATTAGAAGACGATCTTCATTAATAATTGCTTGCCAACTATCATCGGATGTTTGTTGTGTATTACGTAATACACGCTGGAGATATTCCAATTTTTGTTCAAGCATTTGTTCACGATGCATAGCTTCCTACAATTGAATCGAAAAGTTTCTTTATATTAATTATAACTCGAAAAAAAATCAATGAATTATTCTATATACTTGAATATATTGAGCCAATTGATATAATGTTTGTGTATTTATATCAAGTTCTTTTATTTGAGCTAAAGATTGACCATTAGCACTAAATATAAAATTAGAATTTATATACATTTTTATTTATAATTTAAATTACCTTCGAGCTAAAGATTCACTACCATCTGCATGAAAGAGTCTAACTTCCATAATGATACAGTTATGTGTAGCTAAAGGCATAATAGATAAGATTTTTTTTGTTTTATTAAGAAATATATCTATATTACTTTTTCGATTATTCTCAGTAACATCAACACCAAATTGAACGACATCATCGGAATAGATTTCAAATGGTGGACTTTCTTCATTACATTTACCTAATCGTTCATTATTAACAAATGTACCATTCGAACTTTTTGTATCTTGTAATAAAAACTAAAATTACATTAAAATAATAAAACAGATATTAAACGGATGTAACAATACGACAATATTTGCTTCATCGATTCTCTAATCAAAGTTCTTTCAAGTATCTCTCTCCTCAGGCTATCTGAAACTATCGCAGTCAACTGATATTTAACCCTCCGGAGGTGTTCTCGCTTAGTCACACGAACGATGTATGTGGGTCCAAGTGGACCCACACGTAAATACATAAGGAAAACATGAAAATTCATCTGTATTGTACTATATAAGAGAGATCAAGGTCTATATCATGATCTCTTTTCAGTCACTGATGCATTGATACGCTTGTAGTATACGTAAGATGCTGATTTTTCAAGAAAAAAGAAGGATTACAATTATCGTGAGTAAAAGTTAAGAGAATGGTGAGAATATTTCGATAGATAAATAAGGATAGAGAAACACATTATTCTTTACTGGCAGCAACAAACTAATCAATCTTAAATGGATAGATCTTCGAAACAACAGAGGGCATACGTAATACGAATCAAAATCATCTATATAACACGAATGTTGTCAGGAGGTCCAAACGGACCTACACTGTAGTTTTTGACTGCTGATAGTTTTACAAGAAATTTCGTATGGTTCTTATGTATCATTAGTAGACTAACGATTAGCGAAAAGATCGCTTCGAATTGCATAGATCTTAAAGTAGAAAAAAACACTACTGTGGGCCTCTTCGGCTCCCAGACACCGCCGGAGGGTTAAGAAACGCAATGTTGCTAGAATTCTATATATATATATATATATATATGTATACCTTGCCATCTTCATACCAAAGTCTTGCATGTTGTCGTGAGAGTACTTTACAATCAAATATGGCATTATTTGGAAGAGCTTTAAGTCGAGCAACAGCCCGTCCAACTTTAACTTGTTCGTTTAATGGAATGCAACGCTCTTGGAACGGATGTGAATTTTGTTTACAACGAAATATACAACAAGGAAATGACATTTGATTTGTTGACATATCAAATGATTGATTTGATGGGGGTGAGGATGGGGATAAACTACCATTTGTATTTGTTGATGAAGATGAAACATCTTCAATTATACTTAAAACTAAATCATTTGAATAAATTGATCCATTTGTATTTTCAAAAAGCAAACTCGATGATGAATGATTATCCATTATCTAATAGAATAAAAAGAATTAATAAATAATTAACTTGGAAAACAAAAAAATGTTAGATTACATTATCTTATTAAAAATTGAATTTAAGGACGGAAATAAAAGAAAATCATACATCTTAAAACAAAATAAAATAATCTAAAAAAAAACAAAAACAGGAATGTATCTATATATATATATTTATTAGTACATAGAAGTCAAATTTAAAAAAAAAACAAGAAAACAAAATATTTAATTAAGTATTCAGAAGTAAAAGATTTGTTGATATTGGTAATAATGATGATGATAATGATGATGATGATGATGATGAATTAGTATTTGCTTGAAGTGATTTAATAACATTTTTTGAAAAACGAAGTTGAACTGTTGGACAATATCGTGCACGTTCATGTACCACAGGAGCTTTTAACCATTGTTGAGTATCCAAATCAAAAAAATAACCTTCTTGCATCACAATAAATGAATTCGATGTATGAAAGACAGATATATAGATAAGTCTACCAACGGTACCAATTGATTGTGGCCATGTTTTTGATATTGCACCTGGAATTGCCGTTAAGATAGTCCATTGATCACAATGTATATTATAACTTTCAATTGATAACATACCATTTCCATCATCATCAAAACCTCCAACAGCTAAAATATAAAAATTCGAATTCATCGATCAATAAATAAATAAATAACATACCGAGAATTTTATCATCAAATAAATGAAATGCATGTGTTGTACGAGCATGAAGCATTGGTGAACGTTTTTCTAATTGACGTTTATCAATTGAAAAACAATAAAAATCTGCTATTTTTGACCTAGAAGAAATAGGAAAAGTATATATCATTATCATATGATTATTTCTAAATCGAAAATTATTTTCAAGATAAATAAATTGTAGCAAGTTAACAATTTCAAATGCCGAAGTTAAGTGATGAAGCAGTACCTACGGCGAAGTCATCCGAATTTATTGATTCATCGATCGTCGAAAATCATCATACCTCATCTGTGTATGTTACATCGAATTGTATATAAATATACGTACCATTGTTCATTTTTTCCACCTCCAAGAAAAATAGAATTTTCATATGCACATGCTGCTGGTGATGAAAGTTGTGGACCATCTGATGAAAATGATTCCCATTGATCATCTTCAATTGAATAACGTTCAATTGTATTTACATAAACACGCGTCGTTCGTTTAAATCCTTCAAAACCACCCATACTAAATTAAATAAATTTAATTATTATTTTTTCTTCTTCTAATATCAATTCAATTTACTTACATATAAATATATGAATTGGCATATGCAGCAACAAAACGTGATCGATCATGTAAAAGATTCTGTAATTTTATCCATTCACATGTACGTGCTGAAAAACGATAACATGATTTATATTCTTCAGATGATGAACGACGTGTACCAAGAACATATAAATAATTATTTACAGTTATTGCACTAAACGGATACTAAAAAAAAAGGAAAAAAAAAATATATTTAACTATATTACAAAATTCAATTGTATCAATAGAAATCTGAGTATAATCGTATACTTAACATCATGTGACATTTTAATACTATCAAATATACTCTTGAAATTAATGATGACTTTGTCTGAATTAGAGACCAAGAAAAATGTTTGAAGTATATACAAAAAAAACTTTTATCTCTAAGCAAGGTCAAGAATATGATGATAGATGATGAGTTATTTTGTTATAGTTTACTTATGTAAATTTCCGCATTGTATAAACAATAATGCAATTAAAATCAAATACTTTTTCTATAGACATAAAAAAAGAAAAGAGATTATCGAGAAGAATTTACGGTTATTTTTGTTTACACTACGAAAAGAAACATAAATATCAGATTTGTTTATATAATACAAAAAAGACTATATTCAATACTTGTTGATTAATTTCGCGTAGTTTTAATTTAATATCATCAATACAGCTGAGATTATATATATATATACACATGCAAAAATCGAGCTATTTTTTTCTTAACATGCAAATAGAAATATGTCAGCATATTGCTTTGATAAAGCAAATTTACCAATAATAGATAGAATTCAAATCTAAAATTTTCTTATCTTTTTCAGTATAGATTTTTCAAAAAAAAAATCTATTATCTTACCGGATAATTTTCTTCTAATGGTGCTTGACAAAGTATATCCCATTTTTCTTCATGTGTATTCAATGTAAATAATTCAATTTCACCAACAGCAACAAGTACAGGTTCATTTCTGATTCGACATTGTATATCATTTAATAATGGTTGTCGATTTGGTAATGCATAATAACATAATGCATTCTGTACTAATATTCTCGATTGTTCATTGATCTTAATAAGTTCATGATCTCGCACATGATCACATAATTGTTCAGGTGTCATTAACATAAAACGTATAAGTTGAAATAAATTCGAAGAATATTTTTCTCTTTCCAAACGATTTGCTTCTATCCATGTACATGTCATTGTAAATAAATCATATTCATTAAAATGATGCATTTCTAATGTATCACGTGATAATTCATCATAAATTTGTTCATATGTTAATTGTTCAAATTGATCACGTGCTTTAAACATAAGTAAAACAAAATTTTTTGATATATAATTTTTAATAACATATAAAACATTATCAAGTGAATATAAATCGGATATTTTATAAATATCAATACAATTTTTTATTGAACATGATTCAATAAGAAATTGTGAACATAAATTAATAGCATCAGATATTTGTAAATGTGTTGCAGCATGTAATAATTCATCAATATTATCAAATGTTATTGTTAATATACCAGCATAACAAAAATTTAACATGGATTCAATTCCAATCGATGAACGTTCAAAACCTTTTAATTCAACATGATCAGAATGACTTTCAAGCATATTACCTAATTATTAAGAAGAATATAATTTAATATTATTGTTATTTATTTGATACAAACCATTAAACATCGCTTTGAAATAATCCGACATGGCGATTAATAAGAATTTATGACAATATAAACGTTTGGAATTAATATGAATACAAAAATCACATAGTTCAGGTTTTTCACGCATTAATGAAAATTTTTCAAGAAGTTTTATAGCATAATTCGATGTATTTGTTAGCATTGTTGTTGATGTTGAAGTTGCATCATCAAATGAATTCATATCATCATCAAAATGACCATCAAAAATCTTCATTTCAAAAAGAAAAAAACATAAATAGAAAAAAACCAAAAACAAAAAAATAACTTTTACTCGACATTGTTCCGAATTTTGATAATGCATTTTAGATATTTACTTTATACAAAGATAAGATCTATTTTTTACTTAATTATAATATCTAAATAATAGTATTATTTATCAGATAATAGAAAAACAAGTATTTTTGATTGTACTAACTTCAATTAAATGATCAAATATAATTCCATTATATTCTCACATGTATATATTTTATCTAGTAAAATAAAAAATGTTTGAAAAGAATTGTTATGATTTTCAATTGTTTTATGTTTATGTGGTTGGCTTAGAATAATGTTTATTTCGAAAGCGTAATAAGATAAATAAGTAAAGGTAAAAACAGAACAATCAAGGTAAGAAAGAACAGTTTGAGGCTATTAAAATTATTGTAATATAAACTAATTTGTATTAAGAAACAGAATCAGGTAAACAAATAGAAACAAACAAATCTATCACATTAAGTTTTGGAAACGTGAAGTCAGCGTCCTCTGTCGCTTTATTATATTTTTTTGTCGCTTAATGACGGTTGAGATTTAAATTTTGAGAATTTATCGATACTGAACGTTTTTATTAGGCTAACAAATTCTCTTAAAATACAGTCAAATTCGAATAAGTTTTATTTTATTATGAATAAATAGCAATATTAGAATCGATATATTATATAGATATAATTACAATGTATATCTATGATTGAAATAAGATTAATATTGTATACAGTTAGTTCACTAAATGCTCTATTTTTTCAATTCTTTTATATATGTGCGTAACATTCTCAGAATTTATTGACAAAACAAGAGTTTTATTATTGTTATTTTCATTCATCAGAATAACAATTATGTCATTACTTAAACGTTACTATAAAATACTTAAATTCCTTTGAATAGCGTCGCTATTATCTATGCGATAAGAAATCGTTGGTTGCATGTCTATATGTTAATCGCTGATTGGTTGCGCATTTCTCGAATACTCAACTGCTGAAGCAAAAAAAACAACTAGAATGCCAACTCGACTCTCTTCATTCACATAGTTTCTCATATCTTAGTAAATATGGTTTTACTTGCTGCATCAATATGTACGAAAGCTGGCAAACGTATGTTTAAATTTTTTTTGTTGAAAAAAATTCATTTTAAAACTATTTCTAGCACTTGTCTCACGACAATTTGTGGAAATGACACGATCACGTATAGAAGGTTTACTTGCTGCATTTCCGAAATTAATCGGTGCTGGTAAACAACATACATTTGTCGAAACAGAGTCAGTTCGTTATGTTTATCAACCATTTGATAAACTTTATATGGTTTTATTAACAACAAAAACAAGCAATATCCTTGAAGATCTTGAAACATTAAGATTATTTTCTCGTGTGGTATAATTATACGTTTTTATTCTTTCCTTTACATATAAATATGTATTTTTTTGTTTTTTTTTAAGATTCCTGAATATTGTAAATCAGTTGATGAAAAAGAAGTATTTCAACATGCTTTTGAATTATTATCTGCATTTGATGAAGTTGTTGCATTGGGTTATAAAGAAAATGTTAATTTAGCACAAATTCGAACTTTTACAGAAATGGATTCACATGATGAACGTGTTCATGATGCAATGAGACAGGTTTTTAATTTGATAAATTATATTTTATTTATCTAGAAATTTCTTCTTCTATTTCCTATAGACTCAAGAACGTGAAGCGAAAGATCGAATGAAACAAAAAGCAAAAGAATTCGAAATGCAACGACGTGCACAACAACGTATGGGTGGACCAAAAACATACGGTAGTTCAAGTGGTATATCATCAAATATGTATAGTAGTTCATCAAATGATACTAAACCTGACATAACACCAACACCAGTTACATATTCAAGCAATAATTCGCCGTATGAATTATTTAATGACTAAAATAAATAATAAAAGTTTTTTTTTGTTTTAGATCTATTACTCGTCCAATTACATCTGGTAAAGGAGGAATGGTTTTAAGTAAAAAAGGAAAAAATGTTGATGCATTTGTTGATCAACTTAAATCGGAAGGAGAAGTTGTGGCAAATACTGTACCAGTAACAACAGGTGCTGGAGGTTCAACTGGAAAGACAAAAACACCGAGTGTATCATTACCAGAAACACAAAAAGAAGAGTAAGTTTTATTTATTATAAAAGGAAAACTATCTATTCGAAGGATTTGTCTAGTGTTCATTTAAAACAAGAAGAAAAATTAATTGTTCGTTGTGGTCGTACTGGTGGTGTAGAAGCTTTAGAAGTACATGGTATGATAATGTTACGTGTTAAATCTATAGAAAATGGTCGTATTGCTGTTACCGTTAACAATAAAGAATCAAGGAATATTCAATTACAAGTAAAAATTTTGTTTAAATATTTTTCACAAAAAAACATGTTCGTTTTTTCGTATTATTAGACACATCCAAATATTGACAAGAAATTATTTACAAGTGAATCATTAATTGGTTTAAAAAATTCGGAACAACCATTTCCAGCTAATCAAGAAGTTGGTGTACTTAAATGGCGTTATACATCAACTGATGTGAATGAAATTCCATTGACAAGTAAAACTTTCATAAATAAATAAATATATTCTGGATTTTTTTTCTTTTAGTTAATTGTTGGCCAAATGAAACACCAAATGGTGGTTGTGAGGTTAATATTGAATATGAATTACAAAATACAGATATGATTCTAAAAGATGTTCAAATAAGTATACCATTACCGTAAGAAGAGTTTTCGCTATGATAATAGTATTTAAAAATGTTTTTTTTTGTAAAGGGGTGGTGGACAAACGCCAGTTATTGGTAAAATTGATGGTGATTATCAATTTGATAGTCGAAAGACAACATTAATTTGGTCATTACCTGTTATTGATCAATCAAATTCTGATGGTTCAATTGAATTTTCAGTACGTGGAAAAGCCGGAGATTTCTTTCCAATTCAAGTTGATTTTAATTCTGAAACACCATTTTGTGATATTAAAGTAATAGAATTTTATTTAATTGTATTTTCTTATGTTTTTTTGTTTCCGTAAATTTAGATCACGGGTGTTCGTTCTGTTGTTAATCGTGCACCAGTATCATATTCCAATGAGACAAATCTCATTGTGGATAAATATGAATATGTTTGATTTTTTTAAAGAACTTTTATTTCTTAGAAAAAAAAAGAATGATCGATATATGTTGTCGTTTTATTTGAATTTGAGAATAAAAAAAAATTCGTTAAATTTTGTGTTGTTAAAAGAAAAAGTGGAGAAGTTGGGCATCGATCCCAATACCTCTCGCATGCTAAGCGAGCGCTCTACCATATGAGCTACATCCCCATGTTAAATAGGCATTTCGAATTATTTGTGTTTTATTTCAGTCAACCAGAGAATTTATGATTTTTAAACATCAATCTTTATTGTATATATTATAAGTATACAATGACTAGCCAATTTTAGTTGAAGAATAAATTTTTAAATAAAAGTTTTTAATAAGAGAAAAAAAGCAGTTGTTGAAGACTAACATGCGACACAAAAGTCTTTGCACAAATGTCAAGCTATCTTAAACCGTCTTACTAACGAGGGAACCACCCGATGTATCAAAAAGCTTTTGAGCTTAAATTCCGCCCATATGTAGAGAATATATAGACTAGAAAAAGCCTAAGAGTATATGTGCGCAAGTTGAGATTTAGCTGAGATGCCGATTTTTTACTAGAATTTTTCTATGGCATCACATTATCACCATAAAATCAAAGTTTTGTATTTTGATGTGAAACTTTGCGGATGAGCTACTCTGGTCGAGGCCTTGCTATGAGCTAAGTTTCACATCAAAATACAAAACTTTCATTTTATGGTCAAAATATGATCTTATAGAAAAATTCTAGTAAAAAATCGACATCTCATCTAAATCTCAACTTGCGCACTTATCCTCTTTGGCCTTTTCTAGTCTATATATTCTCTACATATGGGCAGAACTTAAGCTCAAAAGCTTTTTGATACCTCCGGTGGTTCCCTCGTAAGTTCGAAAGTAGTGAAACTTTTTTTGTTAAAAAGAGCAGAGTCTGAATTACAAATTTTGTAGCAGATATTTTTTTCAGAACGTATCTGAGAAGACGACAGACTCAGACATCAAACATCTCTTAAAAATTTCTTGCACAGTTTTCTAGATTCATTAGAGATTTTTTAATTAAAAGCGCTCTAAATATGAACCTTTCGTATAATTGAGTCTTTTACTAAAACTGTTACTTTACAAAACCTTCAGGCATTACATTCAGAAATCATATACGAACTCATTTATTCAAAAGATGTCTGATCGTAGAAATCTTCCTGAGAAGATAATCCAACATATACTTTTTAGTGCTGCAAAATGGTTAAGTAGTGAAAATCACCAACTTATCTAGTCGTTTTCAGAAAAATCTATAGTTTTATACAAAATATATCATGGAAAAGAGGACGGTTTATGCTACAAAAATTACAATTTACATTGTTTTCTCATTTCTTGTCTACAGAGAAAAACTAACAGAAAATAGAAAATGACGGTGCTCCATCATAGACTGCACAAGAACTCTTTAAGATATGTTTGATATTTGATTCTTTCATCTTCACAGATTCGTTCTGAAGAAAATGCCTGCTACAAAATTTGTAATTCAGACTCTGCTCTTTTCAACAACAAAAAATAAGTTTCACTAGTTTAGAATTCAATAAGATAGCTTGACATTTGTACAAAGACTTTTACATCGCATGTTAATAGCATTCGTACTTCATGTCAAATGACATTTTATTTAATCCACTCCAGTTATATGAAGGTTATTACAGAGAAGTCTTTCTCTGCTCTGTAAAATCGATATTAAATTAAATTATAAATATATATGCCTCGATTCATTGGTTAATCGAGTGAAATTTATCATGTTTACTGAAAATAATCTATATGACTTATATTCAGCAGAAAATAGATCAACAAGTTTTTCAATGTATAAATATTCATAAAGACAATCGTATGGACTTCCGTATTTTTTAAATATATATATTTTATCAAAGAAGCCAGTTTTCCTAATATGAGATCTTCATATTATTTGTTTATGTTTATACCATAGCAATTGAGTACAAATATTGAATTCATTTAATCAGAACAATATACAAAGATAGAATTTCTAGTTGATTGATGTTTATTCACAAATTCTCTTTTTTTTTATTTCAATATATGCGCAATTACTTGTGAAAAAAATGAGAATAGAACCACCTCCGAATATTGAGCAGGCGTATTTTTGCCTTGTATTCATTGAATTATGAATAAGTGATAAATTGCCGAAAGCATATTTTAAATAGGCAGTCCATCGATTAGAATAAAAAAATATATCGATTTCGTTTAACTGACCTTACACGTTTCTGTTAATCTGTACATTAATATACATTACTTTTTGTTAATATTAACATTTTTCGATGAAAAATGAAATGTATATGTAATACAATGAATAGAAATGTTAAGTATAGTTGATTATCTCTCTCTCTCGCTTTCCCTCCCTCCTCCCTCCCTATCTTTTTTTCTCTCTCGATTTTTTTTTGTCGCTGATTCTTGTAACGGCCCGAGTATTTAAAATCACCGATTTATGAGAGACTAGCTCCGTAATTTGCGATTTCTACTTTTTTTTCTCTCTCTTATTCAATCTAACACTCTCTCTCGTCAATTCATTTCCTACTTTCATTTCATCAATTGGTTACCAAACAAAACGTTCAAAATATGAAGGTGTGCTTTTTCTTCGTCATTACTTTAATCATCTGCCAATATTTTATCAGTCAAATTAGTGTTGATGCACGTCCAGCAGAATTAAAACGATTCTCTTGGTCCTTTCCAATTCATGAAGATCAAGAAGATAATACATACAAAGAATTAGTTAAACGAAAAGGCGTTGGTATGTTTGTATAAATATTTTCTCTTTTATTTAATAATAAATCAATACATAAATTATTTTCTAGGTTGGGGTAAACGTAGTGATTCAATGCTTGGTGATCATCCTTATGCTGTACATGAGAATTCTGCTCGTACATGGTTTGAAGATAAATGAACGATATGTTTTTTTCTCATGTTCATTTATAGTTAAAAAAAAATAAAATACATATTTATTTTACAACAACAACAACTAAAAGAAAAAAAAATTATTGAGTATTTGTTCGAAATCTGTTTATTATGATTTTTTTTTATCTTATTTGCTTTTTAAAGCAGAATGCATATGTAGATAAAAACAGATACGATTTAATATCATTAAAGAATTATCATGCTTGTCAATTATTTATTTATAGATTGACGTAATCGTTTTAGTAATTTTATATTGAAGAGATTTTGTTGTTCATTCATAGAAGATGGAATAGAATGTTGAGTCCTTCGTGTATCATAGATGAATTGAGGAATATAATTTAATTCATTATCAATATAATTGGAAGTCAATGATGATTGTTTATCATTACATGATAATAACCATGCAGTTTTTCCTTCATACGTATTTAAATATGAATAAGGAATAGAACAATCAATATTTAATTCATCTTCTGATAAACTTCTTTTACCAGGATTTGGATAGTTCATTAAATGTGCTGGATAATCTTTTTTTATAATAAACCATTGTGCATTTATTTCAAGTAAACTTACAATAAAGAATAATAAAATCAATAAGTGGAAATTTTTCATTTCGATTTAGTTCTATTGAAACAATCTAAAATATAAACTATTGTTATATTATGAGTACTAAATTAAATAACAATTTACTCTTATATTTAAATACAAGGCGAAGAAAAAATATAGAGAGAAAAAATAATTTTTTCTTCTTCTTAACAAAGACTTTCTCAACAATATATGAAGTATAACTGAAAATAAGTGGTACGGATTAACTAAAATGAAGGAAACCTCGCCCTCTAAGAGCTCTAGAACAAAAAAAACAATTGTGAGTACTAACATACCAAATGATGACTAATAAACTATATATTACTATAGTTTATTCTATAGCGTGACAAAAGATTCTTAATAACAAGGGCAAAGGATACAATCGAACTCATTATTTTTTGTTAGATTTATTCATAACGAATAAATTATATGAGAGTAATAAGTAAATATAAAATCCCCTCCTACATAGTAGGAACATTATTATATGAAACATATATGTGTCAATACAGACGAATGTCTTTATTATGTTCCTAATATCGTTATTTTATATATTGAAAAACTCATCATACATACAGGTGAATATACATGACTTGCTACCTATGTATCATCATGCTTATATAGATCTGTTTCAGATGTACTTTTGTTGATCGTACACAAATATAAATAATGATTTACTCACAATGAATAACCCTAAATGTTTTGATTAGAAGAAAAATAGTTGAATTGGTATTGTGAATTTGTGGTAGTTTAACTTAGTTTATATATAACTGAATAAAGAAGAACGAAAGATGAAGAGAAAAAAGAAGAAAATGATTGAACAACGAATGCAATAAGCCGAGGAGGTACTTTATGGGTCGACCCCCGCAAAAAAAAAGAGATACATGCATAATAGATGAGCATCTATGGAACAAAGCCTTTGTTTTCATTGTCATCATAATAACGCCTCGTTCATAATAAAATCATTTGTCGTCATAATTTGACTTATTTTTTTTTATATTGCCATCATCTTTCTTTTTCCCTCGTTGAAATTTAATATAACTACGATGACATGATTGATCGAGTATCCATTGTTTATAAAAGAAAATTAAAACTACGAAATCATTTCTTTTAATCATGAATCAGTGTTTATTAAATTCTCTGAATCATTCATATACAAGAAAGTTCTATGTCATCAATAAAAATAACTGAAAGATAATGCAAAACAATGATAGTGAAAATATATGTAGTAATTATAAGATATTTTGTTTAGATTTCACACATTATCCCGTGAAATATAGGTAATAATACCTTATTATATCCCTCCTCCAATTTGAAAACCTTCACGCAGTGTGTATATATGGTAAACATTTGAAGCTTTACACGACATTCAATAGTACTCGTTAAGAAAAATAATTCAAATAACTAATTAGATTCAATTTATAAGTAGAAACAAAATTATATTATCTTTGACACTGTTTAATTTTACTAAAAAAAAACTTTATATTAATGCATCAAGTCAATAGTTGTGTTTCTTATCATATATAATCAAACACAATAATATATTTTCGTGTATTTAGAATGAAATAAATGATTGGTCAATGCTAAATTTATTTTTTTTTGCTAATGTAGATAATCGTTTTTTAAATAAGGTAAATCTATTTTATATTAACAATACTCATCATACGTTTATTTGAAATAATATTTAAAAAAAATACCCATATATATATTTAATAGAAATCAAAAACATCTACTTTCAGAATATTCAACTGTAAAACTTTTTTTCTTCTTCTTATATATATTTATTTGTATGTAGCGAAGAATGTTTGTCTTTACTTCAATTTATTTGTACAAATAGAAAGAGTTGATTTAAAATTTGTTTTTTTCAACAACATCACCAATCAATCAATATAATAATAAACATTAAGAAAAAAAAATATCTATGACTTCGGCTACAAAACTTTTTTCTTTCTTTCTTTCTTTTAATCAATTCAAATGATTGAGAATAGTAATCATGTTTTAAGTTATTCATTTTTTTTGACTTGCAGCTCTATAACAACATAATACTAATGTTGAACATCGTCAGAGATGTAAATGTAAAGCCTGAAAGGATGAAAGAAAAATTCTGCACCTTTCTTTCTTTCTTCTTTTTTTCTCTTCTTCTTCTTCTTCTTCTTCTTCTTTTAGAATATATGTCGTTGAAACCATCCTCGTTTACTTTTTTTTCTTTTACTTCAAACCGACAGATTGTTCATTCTGCTTTTCCTCAGAATCTAAATGATTTTAAAATGAACTGCTAAGTAACAGAAATGAGGAACAAAACACAAAACACTTATAAAAATGCAAAGATGCTATTCTTCACATTTCTTTTCCTTTTTTCTTTCCTTTTTCTCTTTCTCAGTTCTATTGATTTGAGATTATACGTTTGCGCCTTCTCTATAACAGCTGACACGTACGCATTCGATCATTAATAGTGAGGTGATGGTAGTAGAGCGAAAAGAAAAAAAAAGAGAAAAATACTCGATATGTATATATTGAGTGAGTGGTATCGAGACAGTTAAACGATTTAACCTATTCTTTTTTTTTCTCTTCATTTGAACAGTCTAAGACGATAAAGGTAAGATGAATTGAATCTTCTGTTATTCAATATTGTATAACCACATTTGTTAGTTTCGAAAATTATATTCATATGCAAAATCAAAGTAAAACAACATTAAAAGCAAAAAAAATATATTATATATATATATATAAAAGACGAGAACACACATTATTTCATCAGCAGCATTTTTATTCATTCTTTTTCTTTTCTCTCTATTCATCCTCACGTTTGGCACAGGTAAAGAAAAATACTGTACCATTGCACGTCTTATATTTCCTCAATTATAGTTTCAATTAGCTTGACTAAAAATAATTTACCTTGACGATAGTGTTTTTTTTCTTAAATTTCTTTTTTTTTCTTCTTTTTTAAGATGAGTACAAGTCTTGTTGCTCATGACCTACCACATTCAACTCGATCAGCAATCTCCAATCTAGAAACCTTACGACAAGAACATAACCTATTACTTTCATCGCCTAGCGATGAAGATAAACGTCTGCAACTTCAACAATCACTTGAATCAATTGATTTGGGTATTGGTGAAGCCGTTGTTTTGTTGCAACTTGAAAATCATTTGAATGAAGTCGATAGTGAAACATATAAATTAATGCTACAAGTACAACGATTAACACAGGAAAATAGTTGGTTACGCAATGAATTATCTGTAACTGAAAAACATTTACAGACGAGTACACAAATGAAACAAGAGTATGAACAAGATATTCGTGTATTAAATGAATCCTTAGCATCAACGACAACAAATGAACCATTTAATTTAACTAATACAATTGATATCGAAAAAGAAATGCCATTAGAAACAAAAGAAACACCTGAAATAAATCCTGATACAAAAAATCATTCCGAAGTTCCAGCACGATTTCGTACATTACATAATCTTGTTATACAATATGCTCAAGCAGGTCGATACGAAGTAGCCGTGCCATTATGTCGACAGGCACTTGAAGATCTTGAAAAAACACATGGCCATACACATCCAGATGTGGCAACAATGCTTAATATACTTGCATTAGTTTATCGTGATCAAAATAAATTTAAGGAAGCATTACAGTTGTTAACTGAAGCATTAACAATACGAGAGAAAACACTCGGCCTTGAGCATCCTGCAGTAGCTGCAACTTTAAATAATCTAGCTGTACTTTATGGAAAAAAGAATCGATATAAAGAAGCAGGTATTTTAATAGATGAACTATTTTTTTATTGTTTATCATCATATAATTATTATATTTTAATTACAATTAGAACCATTATGTAAACGTGCGTTAGAAATTCGAGAAAAATGTTTTGGTGTAGATCATCCTGATGTTGGAAAACAATTAAATAATTTAGCATTATTATGTCTTAATCAAGGTAAATATGATAAAGTTGAAGAATGTTACAAACGTGCTATTGATATATATACAAAACATTACGGGAAGAATGATCCAAATGTTGCGAAAACAAAAAATAATCTTGCATCAGCATATTTACGTGAAGGAAAATATAAATTAGCTGCTCAATTATATCAAGAAGTCTTATCAAATGAACAATGTCAAAATGCAACAAATAATTTAAATACTACAACAGAGACTATTCGAGATGGTTCAACAGTAATGACAACATTAAAAAATCTCGGTATGTATCATATAAATCAGATAAAGATAACGATCATTGATGTAGGAAATGATTAACATATAATTTTTGAATAAAATAATCGATTTGAGAGCAAACTTTGTCCAGCGGAAGGTCACTTTTCAGCTTTCATCCGTTACTTTTTTGTAACGATCAATTATTCTTGATTTTCTTGTATAGGAAACAGCTGAAAAATTTATGCAATATCCGTTATGCAATTGTACAAAAAAATATTCATTTTAGCGACCAATTTCCTTATTGATATCCGCTTGTCAGGGAAGAAAAAGCTGATCCTAAAATCTACAAAGAGAAAAACATCTAATATATTAATAAGCTTGAATAAATTCAGTTAATCTTAACATTCAATTGAACTCATATTTTTTTATGCTCAGTTAGATTCTCTAACTTATTAGCAAATGACTTTTTTCTTTGTAGAATATTGATTTCTTCATCGATGATTAAATTTATAATTTAATTATTTGGAGTAAAATCAATCTCAACATAGGACTTTGTGAATGAAACAGATTGATTAAGAAATCTAGTGAAATTTCCATTTTTCTAATAATATGAAAATTTATTATTCATTTATTCGTATTTATTTTTTGATAAAGAAAAGAAAATAATCGATTTATTTTTAGGAGCACTTTGCCGTCGACAAGGTTTATATGAACAAGCTGATTACATCGAATCATGTGCAACAAAATCAGCTCAAGATCCAGAAGCTATTGATCGTGCATTGACTATTATTCGACAACTACGAATCTATGATGATACAAATCAAGGAACAATGCGTCGTGCTCAACAACAACCACCACCGCAAGAATATGGACGATTACGTCGTAGTGGTTCATTTCAAAAATTACGACAAAGTATTCGACGTGGATCAGAAAAACTTGTACAAAAACTTCGTGGAACATCAACAACAGGATGGAATATTCAAACATTTAATTCTTCACAATATCCACAACAACAACAGCAATCACAACAATATGATAATAATTATGCACCAATGAAACGTGCATCATCATTATCAGTTTTAAATAATGTTCCATTACAACAACAACAAACTAATAGACCATCAACAGGAACTAATATAATGGAACAAAAAAATAATTTTCAATTTAAACAACAATATCCATCAACATTTCGTGGTCGATTGACCAGTGCTGAAAATCTTCATTAATTATTCATATGAATGAAGTTTTACACTAGTCACATACATACGATTTATCTTGTTTTCTTTACACTTTTTCTACATATATATATATATATTGTATATTTTAATACGGTATTAGTAGCTGTTTTTCTTTTTTTTTGTTTATCTTTTCTGGGTGCTTCATGAAAATTATAAATTTAAATCAAATTGTTCTTTATTGAACTTCAGTTTTTTTTCTCTTTCTTTTTTGTAATAAAGAATCTTATGAAAAAAAAGAAATTCTTTCTATGTCTTGAAGAACTCGCACAAAAGTAATACTTTTATGATTTAAAATGACAAGAAAAAAAAAGTAATGAAATAGTCAACTCAGTTTATTCAAATTTTCTTTTACACTATCAACAAACTGAAATTTTTATAATTACTATATTATGTAATATAAAATAGAATGTAACTGTTTAATTACATGAACTTACAAAATACAGATAAACTAAGAAAGATTTGAGAGATAATATTCTATTTGAGTATTAGAATTAAAGTACATTGCTATGGATCTATTATACAACTGCCTGAAAAGTATCCATGTACTATGATCATGTGGCATAATCATAGTATTGCATGAGTACATAATAAGCACCTTCGCATGCTTGTTTGACTTCAATTTTCACATGGTACGATAATTTATTATCAAGTTTAATGAATTATATAGTTAATACGATAGTATCAATTAAATTAACAGTTATGATTATTTTGATGTGTGATATAAAACGAAGTATCGAGTAACAATCAACTGATGATCGAATAATTTAATCGATCTTCCAATATTGTATTGATGAAAACATAATGTTCAATTTGGGATCCTCCCGATTCGTCCCTTAATTAAAAAAGTCGTATTTTATTGATTCTGAAGTCGTCCCTTTTCGATTTCTCTCTAACAATTAAGGAAATTTTACATATATGTGTTCGTTCTCTTTCTTTCCTACACGTATATATATATATATATATCGTCAACTATATATTTTTTTCTTTCTTTCTGTCAGGTATTTTCCCCTAGCGATCTCTCTTGAATAGAATGACTTAGATAGTTTCCAAGCGTATTAAGATATATCTTGGAATATTCGCTGTTTCATGTGTAAGAGTATCAGTTAAATTTACGAAAGAAACAATTAATATACAGCAACGCTTTACAAACTCAACAAACGTGTATCTATAATCTACTGGCGTGGTTGTATTTAATTTGTTATGCTTCGATTCACATCATCTGAACGTCATGGAAAGATTTGTTATTATGCATCAAAAAAGAAAAATCTTATTACTATAAATGATAATGTATTGTAATTTTTGTTAAATATAACTCTATGATAGAGAAACATAACTTCTCAATAATACTGAACTTAATTAGTAACTGAATAGAGAGAAATCGATAAGGGACGAATTCAGAATCAATAAAATACAGCTTTTTTAATTAAGGGACGAATTGGGAATCGATTAAATACGAATTATTTATGTTAGGGACGAGTTGGAAATCAATTAAAAATGACAAATTTCTTAATTGATCAATTAGGGACGAATCGGGAGTAAACCTTCAATTTTGTTTAATACGAAAGAATCAGTAAATGTCAATGATAACGGTGCACTTAAGAAAACTGTTGTGTATTGAATGCTGAGCGTCGCTTTTCAAATATCGATTGCAGATATTATTATTATTCCAATTGACTTCTTTATCGGTGATCTCCAACTATTGTATTTAGAGCAATTTGTAGATTACTTTTTTAATAAAATCTTTATAGTCCATTGTCGGTAACGTATTTGAAAAAAAATGATAAAAATCAAAAATGAATGCGTGTTCTTTAATAGTTTTCTATCGGAAAATAAATCGTTCCTGTATAATCAATAACTCCGTCGTTTACTTCAATTAATCGTAACAGTTGTTTTTCTAGCGAAAAAGAAATACTGTGTTTGATCAAAGTTGTTCAAGAATCTATCGGATAAATATTAGTTGATTTCGATCATTTCGATTAGAATAAATAAAAGTGAACTGTTATTATTAATTGAAAATTATAAGAAGAAAAATAAAAGTATTGAAATTTTTGTAGTTGATAAAACTGACAAATTATTATTATATTGATATAATCATCAATAATTAATATTGAAAGAAAAAAAACGACCCATAAAATGCATAACATACTCTTATATATACTTTTTTCAAAAGACAAAAATGTACACAAAAAGATCACTTATATATGTGTGTATAAGAGGTGAAAATATGTCGAATGGAAGGAAATCGAGACTCTACTAACTGTGTATAAAAATTTGAGAAAAAAAAAAGAACGCAACAATGCACGATTATTTTTTTTTATCATGCACGAAATGAAGAAAATGCCCGTTATTAAATATAGATATATATATATCTTGAACAATAAAGAAAGAAAAAACTAGCAGAATAAAAATATATATATATAAATGAATATTATGTTGTATTATGAAGAAGTCCATCAAGTACACGTAGTCCATGTTGTGTAAGTGTACCCATATTTTGATGATAACCACCAAGATTATCACGTGCAACTGTTGATACTGTTGTATTAGAATGATTAGCATGTGTTGGACGACGTTGTTGTTGTTGTTGATACTGTCCTGTGTAATTATTTGATGATCCACTTTGTGGATTATAGTTCGTTACCGTTGCAGAATGAAAACGAGGTTTATTTCGATTATCAGCAGCTGAAGTAGGTCGAAGATTTGATATCTAAATAAAATCTATGATTGATGAAGAATAAACATAGAAAAAGAAAATTGAATTTACAAATTTATTATTCATTCTCGTTTGTGCTCCTGTACTTTTATCACTCGGACCACCACGTTCATCATTAAAAATAACAGTTGGACGTCGAATATAATAATTATTACTACCATTACTTATATGTTTCGATGGTGGTGTAGGTGTTGGTGCTGAACCTGAACGAAATCCACGATTTGCTCCAAGTTTTTCACGTGTTAAACTTCCATTGGCAGGTTTCTATACAAAAACTCAGATTTATTTCTATAAGAATATAAACAAATCTATTTACTTGATATAACAAAGATGAACTAGTCGCTACTTGTCGATGTTTACCACTTAATACTCGTGGTTGTGAACTACTGTAAGTATTCGAACGACCGATAAGTCCTAAAAAAGAAATATTTTCATACAGGAACTTTTTAACAAAATTGGTTCATTCTTTTTTTTGTTTTGAAAAGATCCGATAACGATAATCATAGTTTAGTACATATCTGAGGACAAAGACATTTCGTACGAGAATAGATGTGGGCGTGTCTGTGTAGTTTGAGAGAAGAATGACTTATACACCCACACCCACCGTTTTGTGATAGATCTCTTGAATAGCATGATAATAATTTCAATTTATTCAATATCGTATTTAAGAATGGGAAAATTAAAAAGAATAGATTTATATGTTTACACTATTTGTTAATTATAAGTTAAAAATATAGCCGATTTCTTAGAAACTATTTAAAGAATAAATGCCGTACGTTAAATTAAATAACTTTCGATGAATAAAATGTCTGAGCTACTATTTCCATTACGATCATCTATAAATATTGAAATGAGTGCAACTTTTAATCATATTTTCATGACTATTACTATTTTTAATATTCTCATTATATAACGCTTAGAAATTCTCTCGATAAAAAAAAACATCTTTGAACAAACCTGAATGAGCTGTTGTTGAAGAATTTTTTGTATATTGTTGTTGTTGTCCAGTGGAATAATCATTTGTTACTTTAGGTGTATAATCATCATCATCAATTACATCTTGCACATATCGATTTTTATTGTTATTATTATCTACTGGATAATTTGAATAAACTCCTCCTCGATTTCCTCCAGATGTTGAATTTATTGTTGGTTGTTTATAAACATCATATTCAGATTGATCAATATAAGCACTTGCACCATGACGTTGTGTTTGATCAACAGATGTATCACGTGGTCGCGGAATTTCAGAATTTGAGGAAGACATATTTGTATTGATTTTTGCTGAAACTTTACGTAATTGAATTAACTAAACAAATAAATCATATTTAATAGTTTTTTTTATTTTGTTTCGAAAAAAAATCAAGATGATATTTTACTTCATATAGTTTTTTTCGATATTCATCAACAGATAATTGAATATCATCGCTTAATTGAGGAACAACATCATAACCTTTAGTCATTTCATCATTTGAATTATGAAATCTAATTTAATGAAATAAGTAAGAATAGACATTATGTATGAATAATATAAACATACGAAATGACATATGGATGACGAACTCCTTCTTCAGCTGTAATACGTTTATCAGGATTAAAATGAAGAAGACGACGAAGTAAATCAAGTGCTTCTTCACCGGCATTTGGAAGTAAACTATCGAGCGATTTTTTTTGTCTAAAATAAAAAAAATGAATGAATAATTAAAATAATTTGAAATATTCTAATAATTAAATATACCCAGTTGATGCTCGTTCTAACACACTCGGTCCATAATGTGATGCAATACTCGCTATATCCGAATGACTCGGTGTTGGAATATGATGAAGAATACGTTCTAATTGATTAAATGTTGATGTACCTTGAAATAGAGGTTTTCCAAGTAATACTTCTCCTAGAATACAACCTAAAAAAAGAGCAATTATAGAATAGGTTATAATTTAATACAAGAAATTTATTCAGGCATAAACTAATGCGACAAATATTTCAACTATGAATGACCTTCATCTAATCATCAGTAATGCTAAGTAAAATGCTTCACCGATCTAACTAACGTGATGCTAACAAAAGTAGACCATTTGTGTATAAATGTCTTTAAAGAATTGATACACAAGTCGTAATCTAATTTGAATTAAGAACGCGATTGCACTATTATCCGAAAACTGAAAAAATGATCATAATTCATTTTGTGATAACTGAAGTTCATAGAGATCTATTCTAGTTTCTTTTTCTTTGGATAGTCACTCTCATATTTCACTTACCAATGGACCACATATCAACACCCTTTGTATATCTAAATATAAATATTTTCAAAGTTTTCTACAAATTATAATTAAAGAAAAGTTTACTTTGATGAAGCAAGTAAAATTTCTGGTGCACGGTACCATCTTGTTGCTAGAAAAATAAAAGTATATATCATAAATTTAACTAGATGAAATGCCCATACCAACATATTCTGTTAAAGCTGGATGTTGTGGATCTTCAAAAATATAATTTAATGATCTTGCAAGACCAAAATCACATATTTTAACACGACATTGTTGATTAATTAAAACATTTGATGGCTTAAAAAATAAAAGAAAATATATTAGTTCAAAAGAAAAGTTCTTTTACTTTCATATCACGATGAATAACATTTGCTGAATGTAAATATTTCATTGCTTTTAATAATTGGTACATAACATAACGTTTATGTGTATCTTTAAGAATATTTCCTTTCCGTATAACATTATGAAGATCGGCTTCTAAAATATTATTAATCCAAAAAAAGATAAATTATATATTCGATACGTATGAATTTTTACCCATAAATTCAAAAACAAGATAAATATCTTTATCATTATCAGCTCGTAAAACATTCTGTAAACGAATAACATTGGGATGTTCACCAAATTCACGTAAAAAAACTATTTCACGATATGTTCTCTAGAAGAAATCAAACATTATTATTATTCGTATTAATTCTTTTGTCTACATACTTGTGCATCTGTTTGATTACGAAATGCATCGAAAATTTTCTTTAATGCAACTACTTCTTTAGTTCGTTTATCTGTTGCTTTCCATACGATACCATACGCTCCTTTTCCAAGACGTTTATGAATTTCATAGTAACGTAATATATGAGTATCTACTCCTAAGAAATATAATGAAATTTTTTTTTAAATATTTACAAATAGAAAACAAAAACAAACTATCTATTACCATCCGTCATTGTCTTAAATAAATCTTTTATTTTATTTTAATTAGACAATAAAATTAGCAATCGTAACATTTAAATATATTCGTTTTTATCTTTCCGAATTAATTGTAACCATAAAAAGATAATCATGATGACCTGTTACTTGACAACAGTCTCTTTAGCTGCATATATAACACAATTCTTTTCATACAGAGGTCACTCTCTGATGATGACGACGAGAAAGAAAAAGCATTGTTCAACAAACTTATAATATTAGAATTAACTACATGAGCATTTATTTTACATAAATATACTGATGGATTTTATATCGAGATTATTACAAGTGAATGAAAATGGTCACATCAAAATTAAACCATATATGGAAACAGTTATAACTTAAATCAAGATTCAAAACTGTAGATATAGTGCTCATCGGATTTATATTGTTAACTCTGGATTATGTCGATGTATATCTACGAATGTGTCTCTTTTCACAGGATTATGTATTCGATATAAATTACTCGCAATGTTCATGAAAAGTTTCATTAAAATAAAAAGAATGCATTTATCGGAGCTATTTATTCACTCGGAAAATTTCTTTCAATACACAGATGAAGTTACAGGAAGTTAAATCTACTTGTATTATATCAATCAATTGTTCTAATCAGCGAAGAACTATTATTCATTTATGTAATACTATAACAAAGAACAAACACCAGACTATATTAAACTTCATTAACTCATAGACAATAATTGCATTCCTTTGTTAGATTCTATTCTAAATACATCATTCAAGTAGTATTACGATTTAATTCGTTGATCATATGGCATAAAGAAAAACCTAGTTAATGAAGTTCGTATAGTTAAAAATAAAACTAGATATTATACATCTAGTAAAACAACATTTGTTGATGTCTATATATCTCTTTCGATAGTGGCGGCCTTTTTCGTTTCTCTTTTTTTCTTGATGAAGAAGAAGAAGAAAAATACAACTATAAATTTGATTCGGTCTCAAATAAAAGGTCATAGAACAAAAGTGAGAATCAATTATTTTTCATGGCAATACAAAAAATAAAACAATCATACATAAAAATATGAGTATTCGACGTAAAAATACTTTACGTACAGCTCGTCCATCAGCAGTTTCAATTTATTCAGCAGCATTAGATTTAAATGATGATGATACTACTCCTCATGAATTTTCACGATATTGTTCAGCAATTTATGTTGATAAAGCTGATGTATATCATGTTCTTGAAAGACAAGAAGGTAAACGTACACTAATCTATCATTTATTCGTTTTTGTTTCAACATTAATTTCACTTATATTTGGTTCAATATCAACTATCGATGAATGGCGACCAACATTAAATACACCATTATATTATGGTGAATTATCATTATGTATATTTTTTACTTATGAACTTATTTTACGTATTTGGTCAGCTGGTTGTCTTGCAAAATATCGAACATGGACTGGTCGTTATATGTTTATAACACAACCAGTTATTATACTTGATATTTTAAACCTTCTTGGATTTGGTTTATCATTATCAACAGGTTTAACAACAGGAGAATTTCCTGAAATAGTCTTAAAATTTTTACCACCATTACAAATGATTCGATTTTTACGTGTTGATAGACAATTATCATCATGGAGAATTTTAAAAGAAATTTGTATAAAACATCGTCAAGAACTTACAGTTACAATTGTTATTGGTTTTATGTTTCTTATTATTGGTGCTTATCTTGTTTATATTGCTGAAGCACCAATGGATCCGAAATTAAATGAAGGACCATTTAAATCAATGGCTGATTCTATATGGTTTTCAATCATTACAGTAATAATCTTTTCTTTTTTATGAATATTTATTTATATATATGTAATTTAGATGACAACAATTGGTTTTGGTGATCTTTATCCATCAACATTTATAGCTAAAATGATAACAACAACAATTTGTTATCTTGGCGTAGCTTTTTGGTGTTTACCAGCTGGTATTATTGGAAGTGTACGTGATTTTTTGAGAATACTTTTTTTCTTTAATCTATCATTTTTTTTGTTTCGTATTTCAAGGGTCTTGCGATAAAAGTTCAAGAACAAAAACGTGATGAAGCATTGAATCGTCTTGTACCAGCTGCTGCAAGTGTTATTCGAAATTGGTGGCGACTTCGATGTGTTTATCAACGAAATCGTTTTGTTGCAACGTGGAAAATTTATACATTAATTCAACGACGCGTTAATGCTCTTACGCCACCAGTCGTAAGTTCAGCACCACCACTTCTTCGATTATTATCAGCTGGTGTACTTAATGAGAGAAATCCATTTCGATTTAATCAAACAAATCCAAATAATTTACGAAGAAAATCAATAGCAAAGTTCGAAGATTTACCTAAACGTTATATAGCAGCAATTAAAATCATTCGTATACTTAAATATTCTTCATCATGTAAAAAATTTCAAAAAGCAAAAAGTCCAATTGATTTAAAAGAAGTTGTTACAGAAAATACACAAATGCATAATCGTTTATCAACTACGCTTAATGATATTCAACGTCGTTTAGATATTGTATTAGGTACAACAAAACCAGCATCATATTTAACTGATGAACAAAAACGTCAATTAACTTTAAGTGCAAGAATTGAAAATATGGAAAAATTAACAGAACAATGTGAAATGAAATTAAATCAGTTAGAAAAATTAGCATTGGCTTTAACAAGCGAATAAAATATTTTAATTTATGTAAATTTTTTAGAATTGAATGAATTTTTCACGAAACAAATTGTAACGAAGATGATTTTCATAAATAAAATAAAAGTAATGATATTTATTTAATTAGATGCACTTGATGAGAATATCCTTCGAAATTCTAATAAAAATTAAAAATTGAAATATTCACTATTTTTCTCTTTCTCGTAGAGAAGAGTCCAGTAAACATAAATTGTCTGATTGCTTGCTTGTGTCCGCAGGGTCAAAAAAACATCGACAACTGATTTTTCATGGGTTTCAATTGTTTTTACAGTAAATGTGGAGAAAATGCATTTCTACGAGAAAGAGTTGAGCGAGTCCTCGGACGAGCGTTATTTGTTGTAATTTTATAATTATAATGATACCAAAAAATTGTATTCTCTTAATTACTTTAGTTAATTCTCGTACTACCAAGTGGGATCATTTTTAGCCTTATTTAGCTAGCCATGCTATCAAAATCATCAAGGTTTGTACACTTTAATCGCAGTTTAGCACCCGATAAATTGTGACACTATCGCCATATATCACGATTTCATCGACAATTTTTTCCTAAAAAATCGCGTTAAAATCGTCCGACATGACAATTATTTTTGGATGAAAATATAGTCATCATAAATGACAGAATTTTAATAGACTGATAATGTAACATCATTTGATACTGCACTATTTATGTCACCAAAAATCCCGAAAAAATTGGCGATTTTATCGCGATATAGAAACCGATTAATTGTGAGAGATATGGCGATAAAATCGCCATTACTCGCACAATCCTTGGCGATTTTGATGACATTGGTATTTAAATATAACATTAATCCGGGTAGAGCGCCGTTGGTCGAATGACAGTTCGTCTTCTCGATTTTCGTTCAAACAATTCGGCATGTTTACAAATGTAATGCTTTAATATGACTTTTCTTTTTTAACTACAAATTATTGGCGCTATTTATACAGATCATTAGGTTGTTTACTGATAATACAATGCTTGAAATATTGTCTGATGATGAATTAATGGAAAAACGTATAGAATTACGACAAAAATTGAAAAATAAATTATTAACATTATCACCATCAGGATATATATTTGATTCATTTAATAATTTTATACCAAATTCACGAGATTTAGATTTTATTGAAAAACAAGGTTTAGATTGTGCCATAAATTATTTAATTATTAATAATATAAATAAATTTCATAAACGAATACCAAATATATGTTCAATTTGTCAAATAGATCATACAGAAAATTGGTGGTATTCATTATCAAATAATAAACAAATCATATATTTATGTGATCAATGTGAACAAAATCGAATTCGACATGTTATTCTTGAACAACATCGTCAATCAATGAAATCAGCTTTTTTACAAGCCAAAGAAAGTGAACGTCGTTTAGAAGTTAATTATCAACAACAGAAAAAATTTACTAAATAACTTTTTAGACGAAAAATATTCTATCGTGTTAATATAAGAAATATTTTATTAAATTAAATATTTACTGTTATAAAATCACAAATATATTCACACATGAGAAAGGCACCACAAAAAGTAAACAAGGTTTTACAAATAAAGAGATTAAATTTATCATTGTCAAGATCGTATCAATCGATCGTACAATTATCAGAATAATTTGCAAAAATATTATCAATGAAATTCTAAATAATAAAACATAAATATATGAAATATCTACTTATTATGAATCAGATATTAATCCTTAATAGTTGAGTGTAGGGGTGGTGGTAGCTTAGCCTTAATATGAAAATAAGGCACAGGTTTATTATCGATTTATGCATTAAATTGGCATTGACACTACCAATGCTACTTTTAATTCCAAAAAATCAGCATTAACCCTTTGGTTACGGATCACCCATATATGGTATTTGAAGTTTTGCAGATACTACTGTCATTACAGTATCATTTAGACTCGATGGAAATGACTCCTTTCTCTGACGATGTAGATGTGGATGTAGGTGAGATAAATAAGATACACTGACACTTACTTTTAAACACTTCTGTACATTAATAAAAGTTATTTCAAACTGTTTTAGAACGATAAAAAAAGATTCACTTAAAAAGAACTCCGTAACCAAAGGGTTAATTAGCTTCCGCTGAGAAATGAATCAATGCATTATTTTCAGTTTTAATGCTAAGTCACCAGCTCTATCGCAGATACAACATGATTTATTCGTATTTGTTGGTGACTTCACTAAAAACAATGTTAAACTATCTAACGAAACCATTCTGAGAATTTTAAACTGATATGGTAAAGAAAATATCCCTTAAAGGGACATCCGATCTTAACGGTTTGAAATATTACAACTGACAACCCAATGGTTAAGTACACTATCAGCATACTGGAGGTTCAGAATCATAATTTTGGTGATTAGTTTTCTCTTATTGTCACAAATAATGAGTTTTTATACACATCATTTGTAAGATTAAATTTTTCATTAATCAAATAATCTATTATAAAGTCGAAAAACTTGAGTGACAAATTGCCTTATCGATATCATTCTCATGCGTAATCTATTTGTCTCGATCTCATTTTTTGTTCTTGAATTAGAATCTTATTAATCAGAATACTTAGTTATTATAGACATCAAAAACATCTTACCAAACAACTATTTCGATCACATTTAATACTTAATTCGCCAATACGTTTTTCTTTTAAAATATTAGTATGTGATAATAAATGATAATAGGCTTCACATGGATTCAGAGTTTTAATCAATGATTGACATGTTAAACAACGATATTGTATTGATACACTTCGACGATTTAAATGTAAATTAAACATATTATTTGAATGAAATTTATAATTACATAATTGACATAGAATTAAATCATGGTTGTTGTTGTTATTATCATTATCTTCATCTATTGATAATGAATAAGAAAAAAATTCTTTTAAAAAATTATAAAATTCAATTTGTTTAAAGCATCGATTTTTTGATGAATACATTGCATATTTACATTTATATAAATATTCATCGGATAAATGTAAAAGATTTGTTGATTGCCAATGATTAACATTAATATTTAATAATTCTAATGAACCTGTTTGATACGAACGTTGTTGAAATAAACTTGGACGAAGTTCTATAGGTGATATAGGAAATAAACAACGACGACGACGTTGTCTTATTAATTGACAATTTGTTTTAATACGTTCAAGACGTTGCCGATAAGATGATGAACAACGTTTAAGATTTTTTTTAGGTATATTTATTTCATTAATAACCGATTTTGGTAAAAGATTTTTATAATAAGGTAAAAATAATGATTGATTTTGATTTAATTCAAGAATTCTATTCGACATTTCAAAAAAATAAACATAAAAAATAAATCTATTATTTTTTTATTTGTTTATCGTATTTGTGTATCCATTTTTCCATTGGTCAATAGAATTACCACCGCTAGAAAAGATATATATCTACATGCAAACAGTAATCAAATAACTTCTTTAGAATATATCAGACAGAGTAAAGCAGATGGATATTAAAGGTAACTTTATCTATTAAATTTCTTCTAATGACAAGAATTCTGTTTTTTTTTATTTTACAGAAAATGATTCAAAATTATTTACACCAGGTCCATTGACGACCAGCTTAACAGTCAAACAAGCAATGCTTCATGACTTAGGATCACGTGATACAGTTTTTTTAAATATTGTTGCATATGTTCGAAGCAAAATAATTGAATTAGCTGGTCTAAATAGAATTTATGTATATATAATATTCATGATATTTCTCTTAATTTGTAGATGCATCAGCAGATGAATATGCAGTTGTACTTATTCAAGGAAGTGGTTCATATGCAGTTGAAGCAACATTTTCATCATGTGTACCTCGACAAGATGCTAAAGTAATTTATTTATTGTCTATTTGAATTATTTATATAACTATTTATGAAGGTTTTACTTATTGAAAATGGTGCCTATGGTCAACGATTAGTAAAAATTTGTCGAGCATTAAATATCCCTCATGATGTTCTTTCATTTCATGAAACTGAACGTGTTCACGTTGATCAAGTTGCAGAAGCATTAAAATCAAATCAATATACACATGTTGCTGTGATTCATTGTGAAACAAGTTCAGGGATTTTAAATCCAATTGAAGAAATAGGTCAATTAGTTTATGAACATGGTGCTAAAAAAGGTTAATTCATTTTTTTGTGCTTATTCAATCGAATAAAAATTTTTTTTTCTGTAGGATCAACAGTATTTATCGTTGATTCAATAAGTGGTTTCGGTGGTATTCCTGTTAGTCTTCGTAATGGTCAAATTACTTATCTTATAAGTTCGGCTAATAAATGTATTGAAGGTGTGCCTGGCTTTGCTTTTGTCATTAGCAAAAAACAACATTTACTTTCGTGTCAAGGTAACACAGATTTCGTTTTTTATTATCAATGCGTCATAAAATAAATTTTATTTAGGTTATGCACGAAGCTTAGTACTTGATCTTTACGATCAATACATCTATATGGAACAAAGTCAACAATTTCGTTTTACACGTATGTAAAAAATTTGATTTATAATCGATAATTTCCTATTTTTATATAGCTCCAACACATGCAATTCTTGCATTTAAACGTGGATTATATGAATTAGATGAAGAAGGTGGTATACAAGCTCGTGCTAAAAGGTATAAAATTATTTTAATCAATTAAATTCTCTTCTATCTATTATTACTAGATATCAAGCTAATAATAAATGTATTCGAGAAATAATGAAATCACTTGGTTTTATTGAATTAATCAAACCGGAATATCAAACATATATTATTACATCATATCATTATCCACCAGCACCATTTCATTTTGAAACATTTTATAAAAAACTTAGTGAAAAAAGTATAGGAATACATCATATTAAATAATGAATATAAATATCAAATTTTTGTTTTAGATCAATTAATTTATCCTGGTAAAACAACAAAAACAGATTGTTTTCGTATTGGTAATATTGGTCGATTATTTCAAACTGATATGGAAAAATTAGCTGAATGTATTAAACAAGTATGCAATGATATGAATATTGAACTTCCGTTAAAGAATAATAATAATCAATGAACGAAATTTACTTCTAGCAATTTTTATCTTTATTTATCATCTTTTTTTTTAATACATTTTTATCGCATGTTTTATATTTATTTAACTGCTACTTTTGACTTTTTACTTATTGTTATATGAATTTTTTATTGACAATTAAATCATAAATGTAATATTATATTCTATTTATGCCTTGATATATAAATGCAAGAGTATGCTGACTGAAACCATCATCATCATTCAGATTCATATAGTGAAAGTTTACTGAGCCCGCGACATCACTTCTCCCACAACTTTGCTAATTATTGAAAACAAAGTAGACATTTGCTACTCCACCCATTCACACCCTATCATTGGCGGAGTTCCGGTAACTCAGTCGAAACACTTTACTTTGTCAAAATGAAAGAAAAATATTTTTTAATATCGGTTACTTCAATATATTAAGAGTAGACTAGATGATGATAAAATTTTCTATTAATGTTCCCGATAGAACACGAGCAAGAATATTTAAGAAATTCTTCTTATTCAAAGTTGAGTGAAAATGACTCAGATACTTTCTGCAGATTACGATAGCATCATTCAATAAAATTATTTTATTTCAGTTCAGTGTTGAAGTTTTATCATATTTAAATCAAAGGACAGTGTATCATTTTTGGTCCATATAAAGAGACTACAAAAAATAGTAATGCGTCTTTTTGATAGATGATGGTATGACAAACCACATGTAACCAATTGTTTCACTTCGTGACTTAATCAAACTAGATCACATACATTTATAAAATTAACTAATCTGTAATTTCATTATCGCTTCTGTATTGAACCAAAACATTTATTTTATAGATCATTAAAAACAAGTTACATAAACCTGCCCGCCTATTGAAAGAAACGATTTGATGTTATTAATTCATCTCTTGTCGATTTCAATATAAAGGGTCATACTAGTTTGAATTAAAAGTACAACATCATGACTTTATAGAGATGTAGTAAATAATAAAAACTGTTATCCACTGATAAGATCTATTAGACGTGTGTTAGTTTTTTTTTCATAAGCTACAAGCTGTCATTTCCTACTGACAATATTAATGACGATGTTCCTCTACTTTTTAAAAGTTTTCATTTATCTTTAGTAAATCTCTATTGATTTTAAACCTCGTATGTCAACGAACAACCTCTTATCTGATATAAATAATGCATTCAATGTCATATTACTAAAGCTTATCTACACACTTCATTGAAAGAAAAAAAGGTCAGGTTGCTCGAAATCTCACAGTAGAAACACTTTTCTCACAGTTTTTATAAGTTGGATAGATAAGAAAATGTTTTTTTCTTCGATATATAAAAGTCCTCAAATTAGATCATTGATATTCTTCAGAATTTTATTCAATAAAATGCTACGTGTTTATAAACATGTATTCAGTACAAATTAAGATAGAATAAATCTTATTAAACATTATTCATGATGACGTGTACTTAATAAGTCGATTAAAAAACTTGTTAGATCTTGATAATAACATAAAAGAGAATATGTTTTCCTGTCAATTAGTCAAAGAAATCAAACGTAAAAACAAACAAAGACTGCGTAGATGAAAATAATGAATTCTTATACTTTAGAACCATTGGCGTTCTTTTTTTTTCTTCGTTGGAACTTTTGTAGACATGCGCATTATATAAATAATCGCTATTTTTTTGTTAAATTCTAAAACACTGGTGTTTAAATATCATTTTTACTTTTCAATTCATTGCACAACAAAAAAAACGAAAATGTTTATTTTACTAATCCGTAAATTTTTTAATTAACATCATCAATAAATGATACACGTAGTTTTTCTACAGATCCATTTGAATTTATTTTTAAATCATTGTTATTTTCCGATATTAATGATGACATAGGTATTTCATTTGCCGTTGAATTTAATATCACAGATGATGCTGGTAGAGTTTCGACATTTGAAATTTTAAGTTCAATATTATTTGTTGTTACACCACATTGTTTACCAAGTAATGGTGCTGCCATAGATTGTAGACGTTCTTGTCTCGTATTAAGAAATGATGCACATAAAAGTTTTGTAAATGCATCACGAAATGCTCTTGACATACGGCAATAAATAAAAAAATTAATTGGATATGAAAGTAAAACAGCAAAATTTAATAATTGTACAGCAAAATTGAAAAAATTCGGTGCATTTTTATTAAATAATCGAAATATAGCCATTAGAATTATATAAATAGCCATTGGAATTTCAACTATTAAAAATATTGTTACAACAATTATCTAAAATAAATAAATAAATTAAAAATTTTTTCCTTATTATTCTTATAACATACAAGCATAAATGTAACATTTGTTTGTTCTTGACCTCGAGATTCATGACTACGTCGTCTCATAAGTTTTTCTCGATTTTCTTTTGCTTCTTTCATACGTTCAACTAATATTGCATTACATATAACAAGTATTGTACATGGGCCAACGTTAATTAATAAAGCACGTATAAGTGAATAAATAGAAAAATAGGTTCGATATCGACTATCTTCAGAATAATCACGAACAGTACATGTATTAAAAATTTTCTTTGAATCAAGTAATGAAGAAACTGCTTTGGCATGAAATGTACCTTCAATAAACATTGGAATAGCTACAATAAGTGCTAATACATTGACACATGCAATTGCTTTTAATGCCATTGGTACAGTACACCATTGTTTTGCTTTTTCTGAATGACATACGTATATATATCGTTGAATAGCTAATACAACAGTTACCTATACAAGAAATTATATTTATAAAAAATTTTCAAAAAGAAATTATTTTACCCAAATCGAACATGTATGAAAAATAAATGGTAATACATCATGATTAATTCGATGAAACCATCCATAATTAAATGGTATATAATCATCACAATGTCGAAATGTATAGAGAAATATATAAGTTGGAAATGGGAAAAGTCCTGTTAATGTATCATAAAGTGCAATAGCTAAAAGAAGAATATTTGTTGGTGAACGAAGATGTTTTTGAAGTAAAACAACAGCAATTAAAGAATTTAATACAGTAGAAATAATAATTATTAATGGCGCACAAGCACCTTGAAGAATAACATAATATAATGGTGGACATTGACCAGGTGAAAATGGATACCAATGTAAACCATTTGTTAAATTAATAACACCATTTGTTTCATCAGTTGATGATGTTTGATTTATTGAATATCCCATAGTATCAAAATCGATTGGAAATAAGAGATTTATTGTATAATTATATTTAGTAAAATCAAACCATTGTCTAAAATAAATAGATTTATTTTTAAGTTTTCACGAGGGTTTCTATTTCAATAATTTTCTATTTTCTAACAAAAATAATGAATGATCGATAATGCTCATGCATTGAATATAGTGGAATAAATGATGAAAACAAACAGTTCTATTTATTACACCATTGCTTTTCAAAATATTGTGTGGAATAATTAGAAAGAAAGAACAGGAGAATATATTTTATTTATATTGTTATGTCAGAGAGTTCAATAAAATGAAAAAGTGATAATTAAATCATAAATCATTTTAGATACACATTACCTTTTTATTTATCGTAATCTATTTATTCATTTTCTTTTCCTATTATCTATTTGATAGATATACCTTCATATTATATCCGAATGTAGTTAGTCAACTAGAGATCTGTTTCATGTCGGCGAAAGTATAGAATAACGTGCATATATAATCGAACAAATGAAATGATTCGCGTCGTCCGATAGAAGTGACAATAAATTGCTATACCATATAACATTCTTTTACATCAAAAGGATGTCAGACATGATCAAATTGACGTAGCGATAGGGAAAAAAAGAAAGCAAAAAAAAAGAAGAGATTGCTTTCTTTAACAAAGAAAAAAAGTATATGTGTGTGTGTGTGAAACGTCAAATGATTCTAATTTTTTATAAAGATTCTTTCTTTTTTGAAAAAATAAAACAAACTTAGTTAAAAATTTGAATACTTTAAAATTAATTATTCATTCTCAATAATTAAAAGAATTTCTTGACTTCTGTTTTATAAAGATTACATAAGATATCTTAATCAATAATGTCTAACCAATTTCATTGTGTTTTCATATCGATGACAAAAAAAACCTAATTATCTCGTTTCATCGTTCTATTCTTAACAATATTTAATAATTTATAAAAAAAATTAATTATTCAAAAAAACAACATCAATTCTATTTGAACACGTAATACTATTGGCAACACACGAGTGATACACAATAAATTTACTTATATTTTTATTCGTGTCAATATTTTTGACGATCCAGAACATAGAACGCCTGATTAAGTAGAGACAAATGAAATAGACATTTGTCTTTCAAATAGATATAGAAAATTGAAAATAACTTGTGACTAACAATATCTATGATATATATCAGAATTATAAAGAAGAAATCTTTGTTTTTCAATGACAAAGAAAAAAAATATATGCAGAATCTATTGATAGATGGAACAAATAAGTCTTTCTCATTCATCAATACATTATCATTAAGTAAATAAAAGATCATTATCTATTTTTTTTAATGAATATTATTAACATATTGTTGCTGATAAAAAAAAATCTTTTCTCTTTCCTATATTTTTTATCACAGATGCCAATAAAAAAAAAGAAGTTCTCATGATATACTCCATAACATCACATGAAGTATTACAGAATGATGGCTAAGTGTGTATGTTGCATATTTTTTTATCAAACCCAGTAATGCTCATCGAACCGCGAAGTGATCTTCTTTTTATTGTAACGTCATCCTTCAAATAGAATTAGTCCTAAAGGCAATGATAAAACAGAAACCTAACTTCAATACTACACACTTACATATCTCGAAGAAAATCATTGACTAAATGTTGGTCAATACAATGGCATAATCCTATTGATATAAACAATCTCGTAATAGATTGATATTTCTAGCTTTGGACTTAGTGATGATAGATGATAAAGGATAAAACGAGATAGTTGACAAACAGAAAAAAAAGTATATGTCATATACATTTACATCATAATACAGAGAAGTTAGACAAGCTATTGCCTTGAAAAATTAACAATACTTTTCAACAGTTGTGTGAATGTTTATTTTATGATAGTATTATTTAAGGTTATTCTGTCTATATAATACTCTTTTGCTTTATGTTTTTCAAATAATTAACATCTTTCACTACCTAACATATACATATATATATATATATAAACAAAGGATCGATGTAATAAATATTATCTGATTTTAATGAAGAGTATGTTATCAATTAAACTAATAGATAAAAAAATTTTCTTATAAGAAAAAATGTGTTACTCTCAAGAAAATAGTTCTTTTTTATTGCCCTGTTAAGTCATGACTTCACATTCGTTTACTATAAAGCTTTTAAGATATTAAAAAAATTAAAATAAATTACACCCTACATATTCAATTTGGTGTAAACGTTATTTCTATTATCAATTTTTAAATATAAAAAACAAATTATTTACTTTATATCGGGAGTTTCGTGCATTTTCACTTTTTTCCTTGGAAGTAAATCTACGACCGACATTGATAATAAACTGTAATATTATGAAAATCTTCCTCTTTTATGTCATGATGGATTGAGAAGAGAAATAACTCGAATATTCTTATTATTAATGGAAAAGAGGAAGAAGAACAATGAAGCACTGTCAGAATAGAACCGTTAAAAAAATAAATAAAATAATTATTTACAAGAGATTGAATTCAAACGATAGTTTAGCATTCTTATTGACCTAAAGATCATTACTAATAAAAAAAAAACATATGAGTTCATCAATCTATTTTTCTTAAATACAAGATTTTCCAAATCTAAAATTGATTATCGAATGACCTTATAACAAACTTAATATACGCATTGTATTTTATATCCTAAAAGCATAGCCGTCAATTTATATTTTTTGCGAATCATTTCAAGTAACGAGGTCAACCAAACATTGCACTCTAGACTGTATTTTTCACTGCATCTGTTCTTGAAAACAAAAATACCGACTATCAGTAATGTAATTTGTCTATAGAAGAGAAAAAAATTATTATATAAATTGAGTCAGGATTTCTAGCTTATTCTTTATTCATTCGAAAAAAACTATTTATATCAAGCCACCGTCTGTATATATCGTGTCTACCTTCTATTTTTGTGTTATGAGTCAATGAAAGTATATTCATGTGAATAATTCCTATGTCTTCAAAGAGATTAGAACAAGTAATATAACGGGTTGAAAAGAAAAAGTCTTACAGTCCAAGCAGACAAAAAATAGGAAAAACGCGTTTAAACGCTCAATCGGGAACCGCAATTATAACCCATTCACGCTTGATAATAAAACGCCATAAACGGCGTTTTGGACATAAAATCATCACCTTTGTAACTGTAACTCGATGAAAAAGTCATATTTTTAACGTTAAAACGCGCATTTATTCTAGAATTTAAAACTCATGCGTTTAAGCGTTAAAAATAGGAGTTTATCACCGTTGTAAAGGTGGTGATTTTACGTCCGAAACACCGTTTTATTATCAAGCGTGAATAGGTTATAATTGCGGTTCCCGATTAAGCGTTTAAACGCGTTTTTCCAATTTTTTCTCTGCTTGGGAGGTTTTCATGTTACTATTCTGTATTGAGATTATGGATTGAAAGAAGTACTTCTTAAGTGAAAAACAGTCTCGGGGAATTTTTTGAAGATATTTATGAACTTTTACTTCCTTTTATATGCTTATCATATTCGGGATACTCATTATCAATAGAAGTACTCTTTACAAAGTCACATTTCTAGATTTTTTTTTTATACTTACATGTAAGAAAACAATAGTAGAGTTATACAGATCTAGATTGATTAACGGAAAAAACAACTTGAAAAGAAAAGAAGATGTCTAATGATATAAAAAGAAAATCAGTTACGTTATTTTAAGGTTAACTTGTATCTGGTGTTGATAAAATAATATAATATATGATTTAGTTGTAACTATTATATATTCATTAAAAAAATCTATAAATAATATTTACAAAATTAATAATAAAATTGTCTGTCTTTATTTTTCTTCCTGAAAAAAAAATTTAAGCCGCGCCATTAGTAAATCTTCTATATATATCATGAGTTTAAAAAAAAAGAAATCAACAAAACATTCTGTCGTAGTTACTTACATTGTAGAAGCAAGTAAATATAAATTCAAACTATTTCGTCAATAAAAAAAAAAGAAAACAATATCATACATGATCTATTTCTGTTATCATTCTACGTAGTTCGATATATATATTACTTGTATCAAGATGTCTAGATCATACTCAACATCCTACGTGTTCCGTATTCGGTGGTGTGACAAATGTTTGATACAGTAATACCCGAGGCGTATTGAAAGCTCTTCGTTTTGTATGTTTGTATGTGACAAGCGGAAGATATGCGAAGAAAGAGAATTGTGACAAGTTAGAAATATACAAGTTTTTTTTGACAATGGCACAGATTAATAGTTGTTTGCTCTGCTATTTTATCTCTATTTTCCAATGATGTTATTGCTGTTGTTGTTTTTCCATTATAATTGGCTCGTTCTATGATACCGTTCGATGATTTCCCTTTCCGTCTCCGTCTTAAGCTTGTCTAAATTAGTATTCTTATAAAAAAGAACTCACCCATATTCTTCATACATTGTAGATCGTTTTTCCGGGAAACGATACCCGAAAAAAAAGAAGAATAGAAATTATGACATTTTCTGTTTTTCTGTATTTTAAAATATTATATAGACGCAAAGCAATTAGTGACAATAAGATTCTTTCAATGAGATGATAATAATAATGATGAGTGAATCTTGTATACTACTTCTCTCTTGAATATATATATATATATATATATTCTAACAAGCCAATCATGCGAAGTTTTGACAATTATCAAGCTTTATAATTGAAGTACAATCCCAGAAGACAGTGTAACTATTGGCCCTAAATACATTCTTTTTTTTTATTCTGTTCACACGCGAAAACAAGAAATATAGATGAAGTTATCTATAGATCAATATCGAGATCATATAATGAGATAGATAATAAATGATACCATAGTTGTCAACAAAAGAAGTAAATCTTTCTATCCACATTTTGTTTTTGTCATAATACATAAAATATATAACGAATGACACATTGATTTTCTAGTTAATTTACTTTCTCAATCTTTTTTCTTTATATACAACTGATACTCGTAGAAATTCTATTCAATTTCTTTTCTTCGGACTTCAATAGTATGTCAGAAATGATTTACTCCTTTGTCCATCAATTTTAAGCTGCCAAAAATGATCATGAAAACTATACATTATCATTTTTAGTATTTTTAGAATAAATTCAAATCTACTATACTATTCAGTCATTTTTACTAAGAATACTTCTCAAACTAATTTAGTTTTCATCAGATATTAAAGAAAAATCGATAGAATGACAATGATTAATTCAAATACATGACATAGTTATGAATTAGCATTTCATTAACTAATTCATTCAACACTCGTCTTATTCCCAAAGTCTCATTGAAAAAAAAGCGTAACATGAAAGAATAAAACTCATCATTTCCATAACAAGTCTATATAAAAGTAGAAAATAAATACACGGTTTTTTTTCTTGCCTTATATGAATAAAAAAAGAGTCGTCGCTAGACACTGTAATTACTTTACAAATGATTGATAAATAAATAAATTTCTTCAATGAATGCCAATAGCAATATTTTGTAAATGTCAATATCTATCGGATATGTCACCTGTTTTTCTGTTTTATAAACAACATTAACCAATCAGCATTTATGTTAATGTGACAAGTGTCACAACTGTTATTGTAACTAGAAAGAAGATATAAATCATCTATACCATTATAGTAATGAAGAACAAGGACACAAATTATTATCACGTAATCGTCGTCATGTGTTCGATTTACAACAGGACATAATAATACTATCAACAAGCCATGTATTGGGTAATCTTGATGAATGACAGAATAACAATGGAACAATCACTACATATTGATCACATTAGCAATGGTGAAAAACATTTCTTCACTATAATCATAAACAATAATGTGAAGTATATTGTTTTGTTTAGACAATTTTTCTTTTCAAGAAAATCTAATTAATACTTTTTAAGAAATTGATTAAACACGATTGCAAGCATAAATATATACAGTTAATGAATGTATCTATTGGCTAGTATAAGTAAATATCAGAATCAGTAATTACTCTTCGTAAGAATTACAAGGCAATAATAATACACCTACTCTTTTCTTTTTTTTGCTGTTATAGATGTCTGTCATCTTGGCATGTAAAGAAAATACCTAACATCATTATGAGTTTCTGTTCTAGACTGTTGTCGCGTGATATAAAATTGACATCTTCTTTTTGTTTAGTTTCTATAAAAAGATGAGATTCTACAGATTTTCTTTTTATAGTTCAATCTAATAGAAATAATCTAATGTATAGTTGTTTATTAATAAAAACAAAAATACAATAAATATCACACTGATGTTACTAATAATTGAGTTGTAGTATTGAATTTTTTATTCGTATTATTAGCCTTCCGGTCTTGTATTTTTCTTAGTAGATCTTCATCTATATATAGATTTATAAAGGAAATATATATTATTAAAATTAAATTTACTTCGTCGTTTATTTTCATTAGGTTGTATAAGATAATTTGTATCAATATTTTTATAACATGATGAACATATTTTCAATTTAAGACCTTGAAGTTCCTTGGGTGTTGTCCATTCACCCTACAAAAATAATTATTATTTTGAAAAAATATATCTATATAACATTTACCATAAATGAATATTCATTACAATATGGACAACGGACATGACGATTAAATTGATTATCTTAAATAGAATTACAAGAAAAAAACATAGTTTTTTTTATGATTTACTAGGAGCTAAAACTTTGAACATTTCTTCGAAATGATTAAGAATTATCATAAGTACATTCCAAATATGTTCAAATGGTTGATTCGTTATATTTGCTCCACAATAACAATTTATATATGTACGATGATCAGTTTCGAGAATAAATCTATAGTAAAAAAAATTCATCTTCAATCAATAAATAGATTTTTTGATTTACTTCACATGATCTTGTTCATATTCACCTAGAATAAAATTATTCCAATGTTCTATATAAATAATATCTAATTTTAAAATAGCTGAAACAGAATATTGATGAAAAAATCCTAATGGTAACATTGAACTTGTATAACGTATACTAACAATATTTGTTAATTGTTTTTGAAAAATTTGTTTTTTATCTTCTTGTTCATTGGAATTAATTAATGGTAAATAATACGGCACAATAGCATAATCAAATTTAATATTATTTTTTTCTTCTATAGTATAAAAATTGTTCAATTGTTTTTTATTTATTTTTGGATATGCAATTAATAAAAATCGCATTAAATTAAACCATAATTGATAGAAATATTCTTTTTTATGTAATAAATTTATCCATAATAAACGAACAAGATCAGAATGTAAACGACCATATTTATGATATTCTTTAATATATGATTGATATTTCAATTCAGAAGGATTATCAATATGAAATAAAGAAAATAGAAGATCTCCTAACCATAATGGTCGAAGAAAAACTATACGATTTGTAGTACCAATTTCATTTAAAACTAAAATTTTTCCTTCATCAGATAATGACATAGTTATATCATTGATTAAATGTGAAAGACCATTTTTATTAATAATATGATTAGTAAAATTTTCCCATGAAAGATATGGAATTGATAATTGATCAGCTAAAGATTCAATATATCGATTTGTATCAATCCAAAGTGTTGGTAAAATTCGATCAATATGAGGAAAAATTGTTTTATGTGTCGAAATACAATATTGAATTTTTTGATTAAGTTCATGAAAACCTTCATAGATTAATGAACTAATTGGTTGACAAGGTTCAATTTGTATATTAGTATTTAATAAGGAAGTATACGTTTTAAGACGATAAGAAACAGATGATGAAATTGTTGATAAAGAATTCATTCGTTCAATTTCAGTTTTTATTCGATTAATACGAAATTGAAGATAATATTTGAAGAATTTATTGATTTTATCTAATGCTTGAGTTCTAGATAAAAGAAAAAAAAGAACATGCATACTGATATGATAAATAGTCATTGGAAAATTCTTACATGTCTTCTTTTGATTGTTTATCATATAGATCAATATGTGTAGCAATAGGTATAATTACAATTCCATTTGTTTTTGTTACTTTTTCAAAAAGAAGTTGTAATATTTGAAATAATTCTCTAAGAATTGGATATGATGTTATATCAAATGTTTCATTAAATACTTCTTTAATATCAACGGGAGTTGTTTGATAAAAATCTACTATATGAATGCAAACAAGATGAAGAGCATTTGTATCAATGAATGAAGACATGTATTCATAGTATTTCGACGTTCCATTAAAATCAAATATAGTTAATGGAAGAGATTTAATTGATTCTAATGGTATTGACGACTGACTTGGTGATAGATTTGAAAGTCTTTTTCGCTTTGATATATCTACTTCAGAATGTAATTGTTTTGTTTTTGATGAATGTATTACTGGTTTCGCTATCGAAGATAAACGTTGATTATGAGTTTCGAAACAAAATGGAAATTGTGAAACTATAATAATAATAATAAATAAATATTTTTAATGACATATCTTATTCTCACTTACTATTTACAAGTCTTTCAGCTTTATCAATAGCTAAACATGGCATACATTCTTCTAAACAATATGCTAATGATGATTTTCCACTTTTCTTACAACCAGTAATACATATTTTAAAACCTTGTCGAATAATTTCATTCGATTGTTGTTCATCCAGACAATGACGAAGTACTGGAAGGATATTAGTTGTATTAATATTATCTTCATTAAGTATATCCGATGGTATCATTGGTTGTACTAATGGATTATTACTCATTTTTAATTCCCGATTTGTAATTACATCTTTATTTATTTTTCTTATAATATCATTTGAAATTGTATGAATTTTATTATTTGATAAATCAAGTTTTAACGAAATAAAAAGAAGATAATCATAAAATTTTGTTAATTGATTAAATGATAAATCAATCGAAAAAATAAGTGTCGTTCGTTTATAAGCATCTGTTAATGGTGGTAAATTAATCATTAAATTATGACTCAAATTTAATACATCAAGATTATTAATCAATAATAATTCAATAGGAAATGTTGTTAGATTATTATGTGATAGATTAACATTTTTTAAATACAATAATTTCTGAAGATTATATGGAAATTGTTTTAATTGATTATAACTCATATGAATATATTCAAGTTTTTTCATTTGACTAAAATCAATTGTATTATCAAATGTTTGTATATCATTATGATCAAAAATAAGTGTTTGTAAATATTTTAAGTTTAATAAATCTTTATCGATTATTTTAATGAAATTATGTTCACAATTTAATCGTATAAGATTTTTAAATTTATAGACAACAGTTGGTAAATATTTCAAATGATTATGTGATAAATCAAGTTCTTTTAATTGTATTAATTTTTCAAATAAATCAGATATATTCGTTAATTGATTATATGAACAATTTAATGTTTGAAGATGAATAAGTAAACAAATTTCGAATGGTAAATCATCAAGATCATTTTCACTTATATCAAAATGTTCTAATGTTTGAATTGATAAACAAATATTACGAATCATTTCAATATTTGAACATAATTTTGTTGTTGGTGTACGTGAACGTAAACGAGATATTGAACGAGGAAATACATTCATATTACCATCGGAATCAGTTAAATGAATAGGAAATAGATGACGAACACCTGACGTACCAGCATGAATAAATAATGTTGGATCGGGTGGACGTGGTGGTAAAAGAAGATTATCGTTTGTTGTCATTTTATGAGCAGGCTTTTTGGCACGTAGTGATGGGCTTGTTTGGTGATTATTACTGGAAACTCTTAATGATTTAGAAGTTGGAGCACGTCGTGTAGGTCTTGATCGTGGAGTTTCCTTTAAAAAATAATGAATAATATCATATTTTTCTCGAAAAATAATTAACTAACTTTAGTAATATTAGACACACGATATCCTAATGTTGATGGAATAACTGGCATTATATCTCGCTTTTTCTTTAGTATATTACAATAGGACGTGAAATAGTTGAGTAGTTTGATTCTTTTTTTTATTATTCTAATGATTTCGTAATGCTTCTTATTAATAATTAATTCTACATTTCTCTTTTATTGTATTTTCTATCATTGTTATTCTATTGTAGAGAAACCTTATTTTTCCAAACATATTCAGATTTATAAGTTCTTACTTTTGAATGAAAAATCATCAACAAAATAGATTTTTTTGTTTATTAACAATTGTTTTTCTATATATGTCAAAACATATTGAATTAGCGTATGCTCTTACCTTTGTTTTATTTTACTTTAGACAAGTGATTGATGTATATGAGATTATATTAAAAGTTGTAAATATTGGATTTATATTGCATTGCAATGAATTGAAAATATATATACGGCTTTGATTTAATTAAAAAAACAAGTTATGTTGAATCAAATAAAAAACAGAATATTAATGAAACTTATAACATAAAAAAAGAAAATAGTCAACAAACGAAGTTGATGATTAACATGCGAACTTTGTCGCTTTTTAAACTATTGATTGAACTAATAAAATGTTATCTTGTATAGGTCATAATATAATAAAACTCGATAAATAGTTTTGGTGTGTTTCAATCTGTATGTACTATAATGTAATAATTCGATGAAATAATTTTTTCAAGTCTTTTCTGCTAACAATAAAATACAAAACGATGTATTTTATAATTATTACAAACTAGCAGGAGCACCCGGCGTTGGTCGAGAAAAATTTGTTAGTACATATTTGGCAGATAAGAAAACGTTGTCGTTATAATCATCTGTAAACTATCGCAAAATACGCTTAAATCCTAAGGGTATGACTGCAGCTGTTCTTCATCCACATCCACCCTCATTCATGATCTTGTAATATTTTTTTCACAATAACATTCAATGACCAAATAATACTTTTATTGTTTTTTTATATAATAATAGGTTCTGTTTTATCCATTCTCTATACAATATCTCACACAGAAAAAAAAGAAGAATAATCATTTTTCTTCCAAAAAGAACGAGCAATATTAGATCGATACAATGGAAGAAGACTATAATAAAAAAAAGGCCAAAACAAAAATACAAAAAAATTAGAGTAGTCGATGACGACAATCATCCGATCCACAACGACAATGTAATACACGATTTTCGACTGTATCTACCTAATGAGAAAAAAAACAAATAATATAAATTAAAATAAGAAAATCTATTTTTATATGATCTTACTTCATATGAATAATCCCAAACAAGTTCTGTACCAGCTTTAATATGCGATGCAGTAAAAAAAGCTACCCATGGGAATCGCACGTCCCATGATTCAATAAATACATTTTGAACAAAAACATTTGGTGAACATGAATGATTATAAAATCGTGAAACATTTCCTTTTAAATGTGCATCCATAACAAATATACCTGGATCATAATTTGCTTGTTGATATTCAAGAAATGCTTTTGTTTTTTCTATTGGAAGATATTCTTCATCTTCTTCAACAGATGCATGACCATCTAAATTTATAATAAAGAATTATTTATTTATTTTATTAATTTCAATTTTAAAACATACTTCCATTGTGTTGTATATTTAATGAAGCATTGTTATTTTCAATATGATTACCATTATTCACATTCAAATTCATAATTGGTTTAGGTTTTCTTGGTGATGTTGAAGGATTTAATGAAGCAACAAAATCTAATGCTGTAAAATAAATATCACCCATATTTTTTTGTACACCACGTCGATTTGCATCTTCATCATTTAATATTTCACCAGCATAAAAACTCAGAAAAGTACCTGCTGGTAAATCATATAATGTTCGTACACCCCAACCTTTTTCTGATGTATTATAAATTTGAAGAAGTGTATTTAAACCAAACTGTACACATCGATTTGTACATTGTGAATCGCATTTACATTTTCCATTACATTCATAAATACCTTAAAAAAAAGAATATTCTATTGACTAAACAATATTCGAAACGAAAAATTATAATAGGGATCTCGAAAGATGTGTGCGAATGTAAATGAGGCTGAAAGGATTCGTTTTGTTTTCACAGGATTTATGCCTTATCACCAATTGGCGAAAAGTACGACTAGCGAAATGCTGAATTGGCGAAGAGATTTTACCCTGTTCCCACACCCCCATGTACATCTTTTGTGTATCCGGTTACAATTAGACATGACCCAAACCCAAGCTGTTTGAGTTTGGTGAGTTTGGGTTTGGGTCTTGTCTAGTTACAACATACTGTTGTGTGCAAATATTCAATATGCTTTCTATCTAATTCACGTTTTAGGTTTATTAGAAAAGGATTCATAGATTTTAACTATCTACAAGTTGATCGATACTTCTCGAATGAGTTTTAATGAATTACCTGAATGAATTTTTTCTAATAATCGTCCATTTTTATAACCAAAATTTCGTTTCGATAAAGCTTCATAAAGATATAATCTCATATTATCTATATTATCATCATCATCATCAAATAATTCTTTTAATTCACCAATTAAATCTTCGTAATAATGTGATTGAATAATACCATCATAAGTTTTTATCCAACAAGCACATTTTGTTGTATCTAAACATCCATCAATACATGAACAACCTTCTATATTAGTTTTATCAATAATAATATCGGATGTTAATGGTATTCGATCTGTAATATATTCAAATTTTTTTGGTAATGATGAATCATATTCATTAACTAATATTAATGGAACTTTTTCTAATTGATATGAATAATCATCTATTTGTATAAATGCTGTTTTTGGTGAAATAAATTTTTGTGTTACACGACAATTCATATCAAATGAAAATTGTTTAATATTTAATATTGAATTTATTTGAAACAAATAACTTTGTAAACGTTCAGCATCCGTAAACATTTGACCACATGGTGATATATAAACAATTGTACCTAAATCATTTCGTATTTGACGTTTCCAACCTTGATTTAATGGTATTAAAAGAAAATGACATTTATTATCAATTGTTGTATCTTTATCAATAGCTAAACGTTTACATGGTGGTTCATATGATGATAATGAATTAAATAATGGTTGAAGTCTTAATGAACCACGATAATGCCATTCATGTTTATTTAATATTGGAATAAATACACGTATAAGACTTCCTTCAACTTTCGATATAATTGCATCAATCCATTGTCCATTTAATTCAATATTTATATGATCTTTAGCTGTAACATTAACAAGACGTCGTTTAGGATATGTTAATACATAATTTTCTATATAATGTTTTGTACCTAAATCAACTTTTGATAAATAATTTGATAATGATTCAAGTAATAAATGTATTGCAATTGAACGTAAATAAAATGGTGCATCATTATCAGCAAATATTAAATAACGTTGACTATTGCTTAATGATGGTTGTTCAGCTATAATACCACGTAATGGTTTATCAATATATCGTGATGTATCAGCATCACCACTTGGCATACAAAGTACACGTGTACCAACATTTAAATTATTACCAATAGTATCATTTAAAGCAACACGTTCAGGTGGATAACGATAATGATCTTGAGATGTTGCTTTATGATGACAATTTGATAAACGACATGTCTATTGAAAATAAAATAAAAAATTTTATAAAAAAAAATGATAAAAATCTCTTTTTTTTTAAAAATATATTTACTAAGATTTGAAGTTTATTATCATTTGTTTGTTGTGCAGTGACAAAATAGGCTAATGTCCATCCATGTGAAGGATTATAGACGAGTACACGTTGGCCAACATCAATAGCCACAGGCATTTGATTTTATTTTAGAAATTAAAGAATATTTTAGATTAAGAATAGAACTTTATCGATTATCGTTTATTAATAAAACAAAGAAATAGATATACACAAAGGGGTTGAATACTGCAATTTAATTGGTTAATTGAAATTAACCAATCAACGTGAATGATTGAACAAAATAATCGTTTTGTTGTTACTTGAATAGGAGACGACGAAAAAAAAAATAAACAAACACAATGGCTAGTATTGAAGATAAAAGAAATTCACCGTTTAATTCATTTTTAATTGATGATCCAACACCAAATAATAGTCGAATAACAATAACAAATGAAGAATCACCAACAATATGTATTTCATGTCAACAAGATCTTCGATTATGTCCATCAAAAATTTTAGCTTGTCTTCATTCTGTTTGTATGCAATGTTTAGATAAAGTAAAAGATTCATTGGGTAATTATTAATTGAATTTGTATTCTATTCATATAGCAAAAAAATTGTTTTTATTTAGGAACAATTTATACATGTTCGGCATGTAGTCATAAAAGTCGATCTGATACTATATGCGACAATTTATTTGCAACAGAAGAAACAGATACAAATGGATTGTCTCCACATTGTAGTAACTGCGAAGAAGGAAATATGGCAGATTGGTAAGGAAATAACATGTTTTATTTAGTTTATGATTAATAAGATAAATATTATGACTTTTTTTACAATCACAAAATTTAAATTCGTTATTGATGACATTAATAGAACTCCTATTATGAAGTAGTATTTCTTTATATGATAATCTTGAAAATAACCTATCGCGTAAAATTCATGTTATAAGTATCACATTTTTTCTTTGTCAGCTTATATGATCTCTCTCCGTGCAGTTCATCTTCTTGCTGTTGTTGGAATGACAAAATGCTATGCAGAAACGCTTACTAGGCTATTTCAGATAGTCGAACGATCAAATGAATCTTTCAGTTAGCTTCCGAAACAATTAAATTTGAACGTGCCCAAATTACATGGTGTCTATACTTCACCTTGACTATCTAGGACAAAGTAGAAGGTAAGAAACAGTCGTGCCAGGAAGTGAGAACACGAATATATATTTAGTGCTGTACGATGATATCGCACGAATGACCTAAAGAGAGATATCATAAGATTAAAATGAACTTAGAGAAATATTTTCATATTTCAGGTATTGCAATAATTGTGCTGATTGGCTTTGTACTCAATGTAAAAATGCACATTCACGTGTTCGTATAACAAAAGATCATATTGTCACACAGAAAAGTGCTGAAGAAGCAAGACAAATTCGAGGAATACCATCTAATACTGAAAAATTATTATGTCAGGTTAGTTAAGAAGAAAAATTTGATTTATATGTATTCGAAAAACAAAAACAAATTCTATTATTTAGATTCATAAAGAAGAATTAGCTCGAAATTTTTGTCAAGATTGTCAAATATTGACATGGTTAGTAAATATTATTATTTTTTCTTTAAGAATTTAATTTAATTTAGTGATGAATGTCAAATAACATTACATAAAAATCATCGATATTTATTTATTGATGAAGCATTACTTAATCAGAAAACTAATCTTCAATCATTAGTTACTAAAGTTCGAGATATTCGTTTAATGTTAAATAAAATACAAACAACACGAAATCAACAAAAATCTGATATTGATCAAACTGAACATCAAGTTATTGATGATATTAAATTATTTGGTATAAATATGATTGCTGAAATAAGTAAAGCATGTAAACAATTAATTAATGATACATCTACAATATGTGATCAAGCACGAACACAATTTACCGAAAAGTAAATTGAGTTTTAATTTAAATTGAATCATAAATTTCTTTTTTAGAAATACTCGTTTTGAACAATATTTACAGAATATTGATCATTCACTTGATTTTGTTAGTGAAGCATTAACAACTGGTAGATTTTATTACAAATAATTAGTCTAATCATTATTTTTTTCTCTTTAAATAATTTAGGTTCAAAAACAGCATTATTAACTTCGAATCGTGTTATGAGTAAACGATTAGATCATTTACTTCATCAAAATGCTATTTGGTCCAAACCAGTTAATCCGTTTCAATTAACATTTAGTCCTTATGATCCGAAAAATATTCGTTCGACAATTACTAGTCTTGGTATGTTAGTACAAAATGGAAAAAAGAAAATAAATAATAATAGATCAATATTTATGGAAGGTAAGTTTTTCAATGAGAGAAAATTGATATTGTAATTTGATTCATTTTTATTTAGAACAAACAAATGGTATTGATCAAAGGTAAATAAATTAATATGAAAACATGTTTTTAACCTTGTTATCTTCCAGGAATAATATATAAAATTATTATTGCTTTAGTAGTACTGAAGAAGACTAAAGAGAATTACTAGTAACTTCAATAATATCTAGAATGACCAGTACAATACGTTAAAGTGAATACTATCCAGATCTGAACTCGAGATATGCGGATTCGAAATCAATGAGAAGGAAAGTCATTTGAAACGAAGGTAAAGCTATGCGTTGATTTTTGTTGTGATTATCAGTGAGTTCTATTCACGAACGAGTATTTAATATGTAGTCATAAAACTGTAAAACATTCAGGTCTTGAAAGATAAAATGTGTCAGAAATAAGGATAAGAAAACTAAAAAAAAACGCATTAGACTTGATTTAGATTGCTAAAAAGTTTTCACATGCATTCTGAATGTTTCAATCATCACACTATTGATTCGACCTTGATATGTTGATGCTATGCTGTGAACATATTCCATAGAGCTGTCGTGCTAAAAATCATTTGAATAACGATATCGAGATTTTAAGTGCCTGTGTTGTAACTCCTAAAATGCATTCGTATCTCTTATACTCTTCGTTGTGATTCATAAAAATTTGAATTTTTGTTTAGGAAACTCAATAAATATACTTCACAATTAACTACTACTGACAAATCCGAACATGACATACAGCCTGCTATATTACTTGATACAAGTGATGATTTTTGTGCTGTATGTCGTTGTGGTGGTGAACTTGTTTGTTGTGATGAATGTCCGCGTGTCTATCATGTTGATTGTCATGTTCCATCATTAAATGAGGTTTCAATGAATGATAAATGGAAATGTGGTTTATGTTGCGAAATAAATAATTCAACAGGACCATTAAAACGTAAACATGATGATACTACTGACAAACTGCCATCAGTCGAAAAACAAATATGTGAAAAATTAATCTTACAAATGTATACACATCCATCTAGTGCACCTTTCCATCAACCAGTACCAGCTGATGTAAATAATTTAAATTAATCATTTATTTTTATTAAGAAAATGTTTCTTTTTAGTGTATTGGTTATCATAAAATTATTACTCGTCCAATGGATTTACGTACAATTAAAGAAAAAATCAAATCTTACGGAAATATGAGTGAATTTTTAGCTGATGTTCGTCTAATGTTTCAAAATTGTTCAACGTTTAACAGAGTATGTATTCTGAAAATACGCATTTTTATTTTTCTATTTTGGTTTTTTTTATTATAGCCTGAATCAGAAATTGGAAAATCAGGTCGTACATTGAGTAAAGCATTTGAAGAATGGTTAGAAAAATATTATTTAAATAGTCAAATTCCAATACCCGATCGAACAAATAAACGAAAGAAAACATCGATACAAATGATAGATCATGTATCATAAAAAAAAACAATAAATGAGCATTCTAAAATGTGCAATAGTTATATATTGTGTGTTTTATAAAACAAATTTTTTTTCTTGTGAATATAATAAATGAACTAGATAGAAATAAGAGATATGCACTCTATATAGCATGGATATACATACTTTATTCATCTAAAATGAGACTGTATAATTTAAACCATTTATTTCACTTATCGTCAATACTTTTAAGCAATACAATATTCATTAAAGCTATATATATAGTTCGGCAGTTTTATTAGTCATTATCCAAGTCCTATAGATTATGTTGCATTGTCCGTATTGATTATTTTTACATTTACAAATAATGTTGCTGTTGTTGGATTATTGTAAATATCAAGTAATCGAATATGTCGATATCCTTAAAAATAAATAAATATTTTATACATAATTGCTATTTCACAAGTAACGCTCGTCCGAGGACTCGCTTAACTCTTTCTCCTAAAAATGCATCCTCTTCACATTTACTGAAAACCATGAAAAATCGGCCTTCGATGTTTTTTTGACCTTTCCCCCCTCATCATGGCCACCCAATAGACCTCAGATTCGAAGTCCCGGCATTGAAATACCTCAAGAAATGTCTTTTCTGGAAAATTGGTCTTTGATGTTTTTTTTTGACCCTGTGGACACACAAGCAACCAAGCAATTTATTATTGCTGGATTCTTCTCTACGAGAAAGAGAATATATATATATTAATATTTACCAGATTGCATTGAAAGAAATGGAATCGAATATTGACCAAGATCTGTATTACTTTTATCATTATCTTTAACTGTAAATCGAAGAAGACATAATTCAGGAATACAAATTGAAAATTGCATTAAATGATTCCATATTGGATTGAGACCATTATTTGATATAGTTAAAGTTTTTTGTTCATTTTGATCTTGAAAAAAATAAAATAAAATAAAGGAGTGATATATTTTTTTTTTTTAATTTACCACAACGAACACCAAATATTTTCACTTTAACAAATGGTGATACAGGTGCACTATCTCGTTGATTTCGTTTAGGTATATGTTGTGCACTAATGATCTATATTAAACAATTTTATAAGATTTCAACTTAAGAAAATTATATTTACACAAAGTTCTAGTTTAATAGGTCTTCGTTGTGCAAGTAAATAAGCAGAGAAACAACTATTTGGACTAAATGTTGTATTTTCTAAACAAACAAAGTCTTGTTCATCTAAATTATTTTATTTGAAATATTACTCTCTCGTAAAATTGCTGGCTTTAATATATATCCACATTGTTTATTATCCGAAAATCGACCATGATTTAATGACATTGATACATCACCTGTTTGAAAATTTAATGCAACTATAAAAGTCAATATCAAAATATTTTTTCAAACATAAATTTAGAAGAAAAATCAAATATACAAACCCATTTGTACACCAGTATTCCAAAGTGAAAGAGTTTCCACATTACTTGAATCTTGTCGATAAGCTGCTGGATAAACACGTGTAATGAAATTTTGATTATGTAAAATAAGATTAAGTGCATTATGTTCAATATATGTTAATGCTTTACTTTCCGCTAATGATGATGATTGAGTATGTTTATCTTAAATTAAAAGTATATATATATATCGATTGAATATGATATACAAGACATACGTTTTTTAGCAACTTGGAATCCTTTAAATGTTGTGTTTTGACAAGCAACAAGAACAGCTAACTCTTTACAAACAACCTAATATAAAATACATGTATTTGTAAAACGATTAATCTAAAGAAGTTATTTACAGAAACATCATGATCGAAAGATTCATCTTCATCACTGAAATTGACTGACATTAGACTCTTCAACGTCACTCGTCCCTAAAAATAAAGTCCATGGAAAATAAAAACAAGATTTTTTTCCTCCCGAAATGTCTATGTTATGGTTCATACTCTAATATACTAAATACTTACACGAATAATAATACGTCCTTTTAATTGTTCAGGTGATGGCCATACGGTACAACTATTTGCTTCTTCTGCTGTATATATTGATGCTAGAATATTTAATTACAAAAAATATCAAATAAATTTAGTTCTTTCTTACGTCCAAATATATCAATCAAAAATATTGCTACAATTTTTTGTTGCATAATTGAACAATGATTTTCAAGATTTAGAAATAATGGATATCTATATAAATAAATAATCAATTTATACAAAAACAAAAGGATAACATACGGTGATTCACAAAATGCAAATTGTTTAATTTGATTCAGAATTTCTCTCAAATCAGCATCTTTAATAAATGTAAAAGCATGTCGAACAACTGGATGCCCATCTGCTCCATCATGAAGATCCACTAAAATTAATCAATTTATATGTATATCATTGCTTACAAAGGAATATTTTCAAATGCCAGAGGGCTTTTCGATAGATAGTATATATATCCCATTTTTCAAAAGCTTTGTATCTAAGAGAGATTTTATTCAAAAGTTCTGAACTCTTTTATGCAGGCAAAGTTAAGAATCAAAAATCAAAAATATAGGTCTGCTGAAAAAATGAAATCCTATAGATTAAATTAACTAAAAACTCGATATTTTGCAGGGCTACAAGATGCGTACAGTTTCAGTTGAGAAGCGCTTCGGTACTTGGGAACGTTTCCTTGCTAGTTGTTTTTCCTATACGTACATTCAACAGATCGACAACCTCGTTTCAATGCTTGAACATATGATTCGCCAGTACAATCACCAACGACTTGATTTGCACAAAGATATCTAAATTAATTATAATGAAATTTAGAAAATAATTAATATAATAAATGTACGTATTATGTGAAGTATTGATCCAATAATGAGTTATTGGTTTAGTCATATCTTGATAGATTGTATTTCGATGTTCTGGTTTCATAAGTTGATTTTCTTCACTTAATAACATTTCTCGAAGACCTTTTATTTATTTAAAAAAATGTTTATGATTAAAAAAAAGAAGAAGAAGAAGAATAAAACTCTTACCATCAACACCCAGTTCAATACATTCTTTTCCTTCTGTTGATGGATCAAACTTTTTGATTAATTCTGCTACTTGAGTTAATGTTAATGATTGCTAAGAAAGAAAGAAAGAAAAAGAAAGAAGATCTAGTAAGAAAATTTATAATAGATACTTTTTGTTCATTGAGCATAAATTCTTTTACTTCTTCGATGGTCATATAATTACCAGTAACAGAACTTATTGTTGATGCTGGTCCAAAAGGTTGTGCAAATGGTAAACAAGATATTACAGGAACCATCGAAACAAGAGATGATTCAATAACTTGCCATCGCGGACAAATATTAGCAATTGTTGGATTTCTATTACATGTACATAATTCACATGATTCACTATAACTAAAATTCAAACAAAATTAAAATCAATCATTAACTGTTCTATTAGATAAACATACGTATGAATAATATGCATTAATTCTGGTCGATAAGTTAACATTTGATAGAATGTTATAAATTCTTCAACACGTAGTTGACCACGACGTTTAGCAGTACTTAAAGTACTTTGCTACAATATATAATATATATATTATTTATTTGATTCTATCAATTCTTATTTTACTTCAAAATATTGTTCAAATTCTTCGGGTGTTAAACGAACATTTAATTTTTCTGATAATAATATTTGAACTTCACGTTTACATAAAAGACCATTTCGATCACGATCTGCTTCATTAAAAAGACCTTCAAGCCATCTAAAAATTTTCTTTATAATTAATAAATCATATTCAGTTATATTAAATTACCTATCAGTAATTGTTGTATAAGGTTTACCAATACTATCTTCAATTAATTTTTCTAAACCTTTAATCCAAATATGACGTGTTTCAGTATCATTAGCAAGTAAATCTAAACTTTTTCGTCCACGATTATGTAAAATTGAAAATGCCAAATCATCCTAGAATTTCTAGTCTTTCATTTTAAATTAATTATCATAAGATAATAATACCTGTTGTTCTCGAATTTTTCCTGAACGAAGAATTTTTAACCATGTATCTGATCTTAAACCAGGTCGAACTTCACAATCTTTTAGAGGATCTAAAAAGAGAACATTATGAAATAAATAAATTAATAATAAAGTTCATATTACATTCAATTGTAGAATTTTGAAATCGTTTTGTTGATGGATTATAACAAAGTGTATTGAGTTTTGGACATATATAGAAGAAACCTTCATTTCTCGAACCATCCGGATTAAATTTTATAAGTGATGTACCTTCTTGAAGTTTATTCACGATTGTATTCACTGAATCATTCATAGCTGAACTAAACGTTACGACTAATACTGACGCTTTTTCTTCATAAAATACTGTCAAATATTTTTATTAATATTTGCTATTCCTGTTAGTTAGAGATGTTGATTCTCTCTCTCTCTCTCTCTTTTTTTTGTGTGAAGCTAAAGATTATAATATTTAAAATTTATATACGCACGTCGCACTTTTTTCTCTCTCTCTCCCTTCACATGATATTTTCCTTGTTTTATTATCAATGTTTGACTAAAGAAAATATTGAATCCGTCAGAAAAAAAACCAAGAGGAAACGCATGATTATATTATTCCGTGATCAGTTTTATTTATTAGTGTAGGTGAAACATTAATTTTTTCAACACATGCATGAGTCATGTAAGAATAATGTTAGTTTTGTTGTCTATTGATATTTAATAAAATTCGCGCATAAAAATATGTAAAAGAAATAATTAAATTTTTTGTTTGAATATTCAATGTTATTCTTCATTTATTGATAACTTATTCAAGATGGGTTCCAGTTCGAGTTCGACAAGCAGTAGTAGCACAGATTCGAATGTTGAAGCTAATGAAAGCTTCAATTTTAGATTTACAGATTGTTCTTGTAAATGTGATGCAAGTAAAAGACGTATAGAAGATATACATGGACATCATGATATACCACAAGCTGCTTTTCTTACTGCATTTATGGCACAAATGAATCGATCACAATATGATATACGTAAGTGCTGTTTTTTTTCTAGTATAAATAAATGTTTATGAATATATTCAGGTTGTGATTGTGATTGTGGTGAAGGTGTAAAAATGGGCTTTCTCTTTGGCAACACGCCATCGAATACTCAACAATCATCGATGACTGACAATCATTAGATTTTTATTTTTATTCTTTTACATACATCTATTTTATTTTATCTTGTCTTAGTTTTCTTTCAACAAATATTTATTCATACGTGAACATTTTATTACAATCATTTAAATACTCTAGAAATAGATCGAATAAAAATAAAGATTAGAAAGATGAGTTGAAAAAAAACCGGAAGAACAGATGGAGAGTACAGTGATGACTGTATCCTAAACTGAGTATAATGGCAGATGCTTACATCATCAATGACGATGCAAAAGCATACGGCATGAGAATTTATTCACGTCATAAGTGATTATGTTGTACTTATTAACACAGGCATCAGCGGCGGATTTAGGGGGGTGATCACCTCCTCTTCCGAAGTTTTTTTTTATTTTTTACAGCAAAAATAAGCGAAAAAATAGGTTCACACTCCTTCGATTGGAGTCAAAAAATAGCTTTTAGCCAAAATCCTAAATCCGCCACTGACAGGTATGAATATTATTGGAATAGCGACGTATTGCAGACTCAGTTCTTATCTTTATTCACCAATAAAAACAAACAAAATATTTTTTCTTCAAAATAGTTCTATTTGAGTAATTTGTAGTAGTGTAAATAATATTCAATGAGTATCTCTATGAGTTCATATATTATTTTAATGATGCAATTTTATCGATTGATAGATATTAGATCATTTTGATCTTCAGCATCATTCTCATCTTCTTCTTCGTTATCACTATCTGAATTTTGATCAGTAATAGATAATTTATCAGTTGTTGTTGTTGTTATTATTTGTGAGTAATATTTTTTAAAGACAAGCAACATATAATGTGATTCTTCTTCATTACCCGGAATAAATTCCGAAATACGTGAAATTTGATCTGTATATGAACCAACAACACGTTCCTAGATTAAAATTTCATTTTTTTCTATTATTATTTTTCTTAAAAAACAATTTACTGGAATCATTGAATTAATAATTAATTTCCAAGTTTGCTCATTGATTATTCCTGTTGTGACAATTTCTTTTAAATGCATTTTTCTTGGATTTATATTATTAATAGTTGTTGGTAATGATTGATTTAATATTTGAAAAGGTGTTAAAACAATTTGTGGTAATAAATTTCCTGGTTTATACGATAAAATAGAGATGGAACAATGTGGAGCAATATTACTAAAATTCCAGGATGGACCCGACATAAGAAAATTAATGATACTACTAAGAAGATTTCCATGTGAAAAAATAACATAATGTTTTGGTGTTATATTATGATTGGATGATGATGGCGAAGAAAAAAATAGACGTTGAATTTTTTGCCAACGTTGTTGAAAACGTTCAATAGAATGTATTTCACCCCAACATTTATAACATTTAAAAATTTCATTGAATGATCGTTCAAGTCTTTGTATTTCTTGTAAACGATGACCAGTTATTAAACCTGTTTCATAAGCTCGTTTATAACCAGATTGAATTAAATATGTAAAAAGTATTCGAGATGAATTATTCAATGATTTTTCTAATGAACGTGCAAGTATATCGATCGTTTCAGCTGCTGCATATGCCTATTTATGTGATTGTAGTTAACTAAACCAGACTAAAGTAGTGGACAAAATCTTAATTTCATTTCGAATCAAAACTTGCATAGATAGATAGAAAGAGGAGTCCTTCTGAAAAAGGATCTAGACTAAGATGTATAGTTAGATTCATTTTTTTAAGGCAAAATGGCTTGACAATACGAGTTCTTATAATTTTGTCCACTACTGTATAAGATAAATATATTTACTTGTTTTTTTCCAAGTTCAATTAAACCATGATCTTTATTACTAGTTGATAAATAGATTCCATGTCGAATAAGGAAAAAATATTGAGAATCTGATGATGATGCTGTCGGTGGTGCGACGCATCTTGATGAAGTATTGTTAAACAGTTTTTATTATTATTATTCGAATAGATGAATTTCGCTCATAAATATATAAATTAAGTAAAAATTGATTAATAGAAACAAAAGTTTTAATACTACCATAGTTACATCATTGTAAGTCAATGAAAGAAAAAATAATGTAACAGAATTGAATTGCAGTATTATTTAGATTAAATAGTGTGTATAAGACAAATAAATTCGAAGATTTCATAGATAAGAAGCCAAACTAGATCTCCACTTGAAGCAAGTTCAAGTAGAAGAAAGACAACTGACTGTAGAAGTATAACAACCCTCATAAACGCGGAAAGTTGAATCGTTTATAATTTTGTTTTATTTTATCCTCAAAATCAATTATATGAACTCAGATAAGGATTTATTCGCATTCATAGTAATTCTTCATCCATCAAAACAGACCAAGATAAAGATCTTTTCTTTACAAAGCAATTTGATAGTTGAGAATAATTCAAGGAAGAATTTACAAATTGATGCATTAACTGCTCAGGTACTTAGAAACTAACAAAAAATGATGACTTCCATGTGAAAACACAAAACAAAATGACACTTTTTAAATTCAAGTTTCCATCAAAATCACCGAATGTGATTATTCCCTATACTAGGAATATTCTTAATTAGTAAGAAATGTGAGCGACATGTGCAATAGTATAGAAGAACATTACATGGAAAACAAATGACCGAAAAAGACCTGGAGGTTGAGAAAACGAAAGCAATATATATATATATATATGTATAGGATCGTATTTGTTATCTTACGATATATGAAATAGAAGAAAAAAAGAGAAACATCCAATACAAATGATTCACATTATAACAATGCTGTTAAAAGATCATATCATTTTACAAGAATCAATTTAATGAATACAAACTACGCGTCTCTTTTATATAAAGCATAGACGTTGTTCACTCTTACACTTTTTACATATCGATGAAATAATAAAGTTGTTAATTAAATACTAATTACGATTAGTTAAAGAGGATAATACTAATGGGACGAATATTATCCTAGTTGATGAAATATATAAAAAATAATATCTGTTTCGCCATTTTAATGCAATTGTTTTCATGATTAATAATCGGCTCGATTATATTACGAATTTTATTTTAAAATACAACAATACATGGTTTTATGTTTACTAGTAAAATAGTTATACCTAGATGTATAAATAGTTAGTCAGCTACATATACGTGTGTGTACAAAGTCGACTAACCATGTACACGTGTATACATACACACTTTCTTAAGTTTAATATAGAAAAGCAGATAAATATATATTCATTTCTATTATAGACTTTGTCAAAGACATGGCAATGCCAAACGACAAAACAGTATGTATTACATGTAACCAAGAAAAAATAACATATCCTTGTGACGGATGTTCAGAAAGATTTTGTTTCGAGGATTTAGCACAACATCGTGAAAAATAAAATGATGAATTACGTGGTATTAGTTATGGTTATGATAAATTTAAAGAAACAATTAAAAAATAAAAACAAGATCTACATAATCATTCAGTAACGAATCAAATCAATCAATGGAAAACAAACTCAATTGAAAAAATTAAAGTAAAAGCACAAGAGTATCGAGCAATTTTCACTAAATCATTACAAACATGTGTATTAATGATATTGAAGTCAAATTTAATGGTTTGCTTGAACAAATAAAACAACTTCAACAAGGAAATGAATCTAATGAAACTGGTTTAAATTATTTAAGAAAACAATTAATAAAAATTAGTCAAGAATTAAACAATCCATCAAATATGTCTAGTCCACCAAATTCACAACCGCTTATCAATGATATTTTAATTATTTCTTCGAAAAGTATGTTATTAAGAAGTAATTTCTAGAAGAATAGCTCTCATTTTCTATGAACTTATGTTAAAAAGCTATAAAAACAAAGGAAAGTGATGACAAAGAAGATAAAATAATTGAGAATATTATTAATTTATTTAATCAATAGTAATAGAATTAATAGAAATAGAAAATTCAATTTATTCGAATATAAAAAAGAATGATAAAATATAAGGTAATATTATATTACAGAAAAATTTTTATTTTAAGATTCAAAAAATGTTTGGTTGATAAAAATAAAATTGAATTATTTTCACATCTTTATTTAACAAAAAATAAATCAACAAAATCTACTCTTCTTCAAATTTTCTTGTCTTTTCATTAAAATCTTTTGTTTTGATCCTTTTCTAGAGCCAAAATTCATGAAATGGAAACAAAATACCATTACTGTGGTTGGTGAAAATATAGAAGTTGAAAAATTAAAACTCAATCGCCCTCAAAGAATCTTTATCGATAGAAACAAACATATTTTTATTGCTGATTTTATGAATCATCGTGTTATTGAATGGGAATGTAATGCAAACACAGGACAAATTATTGCAGGTGGAAATGGCAAAGGATACTCAGAGAAGCAATTGAGTAATCCCATAGATGTGATTTTTGATCAACAAACTCATTTCATCATCATTGCTGATCTCAGTAACAGACGAGTGATTCAATGGATGAATAAAGATCAACAAATTCTCATTCACAATATTGATTGTTATGGCTTGGCAATGGACAAAAATAGATTTCTCTATGTTTCTGATTATAAGAACAATGAAGTGCTACAATGGAAAATTAGTGCAAACAACAAAGGAATTGTAGTTGCTGGTGGAAATGGACCAGGTCATCAACTCAATCAACTCGATAGTCCTACTTTTATCTTTGTTGATGAATATCAATCTGTTTATGTATCAGACAGTAACAACCATCGTATAATGAAATGAGAAAAAGGTGCAAAAGAAGGAAGAATTGTGGCTGGAAGTAATAGTAATGGAGAAAATCTCAATCAAATATCTAAACCTGAAGGAATATTTGTTGATGATTCGGGTCAAATCTATGTGGCTGATTATGGAAATCGTCGAATAATGCGTTGGTATGAAGGAAAAGGTGAACTTGTTGTTGGTGGATATAAACCAGATCAGTTGAGTGGACTTATGGGTTAACCCAGGTCGATGATTACGAACTTCGTAAACGATTGAATACGGCACGGAGACATACGATCGTAATACGGCCTCAGGTAATACGGCAAAATACGGTCGCGCGTGGTCGTATTTCTCCGCATACGACCGTTTACGATCGCGCTTGTTTGACCTGGGTTTATCTTTGGATGACAAAGGAAATATTTACGTTGCTGATTTTTTATCTAATCGAATTGTAAAATTTGATTTAGTTTCATGAATTAACATTCATTTTTTTGAAAAAAAAGAAAAGAATTTTTTTGTTGAAATTCTTCAGTATATTTTCCATGATTTAATAAATAAAAAGATATTTTCATATCATTTCATAATTTATCCGCTGAATTTTATTAAATTATTAATATTTAAAATCGATTAATGATCAATTCTTATTGATTTTACATATCCAATTATTTAATTCGAATATATCACATAACTTATTCTGTTAAGATCATCATATTCGATTTTAATATCAGTAGTACGTAAGGAAATAAAAGAGAATCAGCATTCTTTATGACAAGAGATATATCATGACATAGTATCACTGGTAATATCAGTTTCTACTGATCCTTGTATGAGATGTAAATTGTTTTATTCATTTCAAATTATATGTTTATATCCTATGCAAGTAAAACTATTCAGACTTTATAGAATTAATTATGATATAAGCATATATCTATAATAGAGACTTCATTTTTTCTTCTTCATATGAATATTATTGATTAGTACAGCATTGTATTATGAACTATGTGTTTTTATTCATATTAATGTTAGTTAGTATATTTTTGAATACGAATTAATTTAATTACCAAAACTTCAAAACGATGTGCATTCTCTATTTTATTGATCTGAGAATAAATCAGATCTATATCTTGAAATATATTTATATATTTATACGTACATACAAAAAAATCGTAATATAATAATGTAGATATATTCTCATTTAAAACTTATTATTTAATCCAAAATAATTAATTCTGGAACTTGCTGTTTTTGTTTTTTTACATTTGAATAGTCTGTATTCTTTGTCAATACTCTCTTTCTAACGACATCATCTGATCCATTGTTTGTTAGTCTATCTTTATATAATCGATAAATAATTTCATTATCTGTTAAGTTTTGTCTACGACGTGGTGTTAATGTTTGTACTTCACTTTCTTTTGAAATAACTGACGATGATGATGGTGATGATTGAATGTCATGTCTTGATCGTCTCATAGGCAATGAAGCTGTTGATAAAATTGTAAATGTACGATCATTTAATGATATTTCAGCAGCTGATTCAATAGGATTTGATTCTGGTATAATAGAAATTGGCGAGTCTGGTGCTAGAATACAAAGCGATATTTTTTCCGTAAAAAAATCGACAAATCAATTTCGTACAAGCTGGTTGAATTATCTCAATGGTATCTGATTTCATTTCTTGTAGATCTACAGCTATTTCAACTTCTGGTTGTTCATCACTTTCATTTTCTGATGCTTCTTCGTCGGTTAATTCAATACTAATTTCATTTTCTGGATCTGGTTCAATTTGAGAAAATTCTTCAAAAATCTATATTTAAGAAAAAAAAACAATTATATTTTTATATTAAAAAATTTTCAATATACTTTTTCTGTTTTAATATTAGCTTCACGTTCATTCTCTAAAAGAACTTTTTCAATTTCAACACTATTCAATGCTGGATCATTTTGTTCAATACTAAAATATATCAATAGAAGAAATAGAATTAAAATCTCACAAATATATTTTAATTAAGAAAATCATTGTGAATGTGAAGAAGACTAAGAAAAATCAATCCATTGTACATATGACTAATATCTTACAAAAATCATTGTTTATTTCATTCATCATCGATGATTGGGTGTGAATAAATAAAAGTACAAATACTTATACCCTTAAATCAATATAATATATAAAGAAAACTAGTTTCTTACTTAAAATCTACTGGAAGACGACTATACATAATATCATGAAAATCAGCCATTCGTCGATTTTTTATTTCTTTACCAATTATTTTAAAAGATTTTTCAGCAAATTTTTTTCGGGATTCATCACTAATATATATTAAAAATTTAAAGAAAAGAAAATACATCAAAAATTTGCTTTACTTTATATTAAGTTTATATTTCTCATTTGCTTTTTCTACTGTTTCGAGAACATCATTAAATGATGGAAAATGTTTGGATTGATTAACCATATTTTGTAGATCTTCATTCACTAATGGATGACCAATTTCAGATGCTTTAATAAAATAGAATGGAATAAAAATGAATATTAGAAAGGAGATATACCTTTGAGAATAATTGGTTGATGAATAATTCTTTCAATTGACATTGATTGACTTTTTAATTTAGCAAGTTTACTATGCATCTAAATAGTTGATTTTATTAAAATAGAAAACTATTCTATTATTATACATTACTTCACATGCTTGTTTTTTTAAATTTGACTCTACGACATATAAATCACAATGAACCATTTCATCAAGTGACATATCTTTTTCTTCTAATTCACGTATTACTCTTGATAAACGACTTAATCGTCGTTCTAATTTTATTATTTTTCGTTGATGTTTAAATCCATGATTAGAATCGGTATTTACTAATTTGACTTTATCAGTATGAGGAGATTTTGATACATTTAATTCGGATACAATATTGCAACATTGATCAAGAAGATATTCAATTACTTCCTGTATTACTGTTATAGTTGGTATAAATTCAATTGTAGATTCTGTAGATTTTGATAGAAGTATTTGTTCGGTATTCTCATTTGTTAAATTGAATTTGACTGTTGTAGTTGTGATAGATGAAATAGTTGAAACTTCATTTGATGATAGATTTGGTCTACGAAGTAAAAAAACAATAATATTATTTCTTTCGTGTATGTATGATTCGACAATAGTTGATCATTTTTAGAGGAAAATACTTGAATATGAATACAGATGTTTTTGAAATAATCATCGCGATGGATATCCACGATAAGAACTGAAACTCTACAATATTATCTTAACTGTTATACACCATCGCAATAAGGACGTCCTCATATTTGACATATTTCCACTACTACGGTTGTGGCAGTTCAAGTTCAATCTAGTTTAGGGGAGACAGCCAGTTGCTCGCTAGGATGTGGGTGTACTTTATGATACCTACACCCACTTCGACACCCACCCAATTATCTTATTTAGTTCTAAGTTCTATCAATTACAGTTAATCGATTATCGCATATGCGATCATATGTCATAACGAGCAATTATCCTGTCGAGTAAACGTCCACACGAGCAAAGGTCAAAGCAAGGAACTGTTCTAAACCCCATTCGAGCTGGCGATCAGTTCCACTTTCGGAATTGTCACATCTCTAATTTCCATTTAACTTATGAATGTCTGCATCATATACAAAATTATGATTCAGTGTTGAATAAATATTTACTTGGATAACTTAATTGAATGTTTTTTAAGTTGTTCATCAAATGAAGCTAATAAAGTAAAATATTTTGCTGATGTATTCTGTTCAACAAATATATTTTGAATATGTTTAAGTGATGATTGAAATTCATTTGAACATAAATAATCTGATGCTGCTGTATTAAAATGACGTCGAAGTTTATTTTGTATAATATTAACTTCTTTTTCGCATGTTAAAATACTACCAATTGAAAAAAGAAACTATAAAAAAAATATACTGAAAATATTTTTATTCAAAATCGAAACAGACTTTTTCAAATTGAATTTTAACTGTATCAAAAGTTTTATTTGCCATCTAGAAAACACAAAAATACATGTCTATATATATATATTTATTCTTTCTTTTCCTATTTAATTATCATCATCCATAGCATTATCCTCTCCTTCATCACTCTCAATTCCATATTGTTCAACTTTTTCAATAAATTCCTCAAGACTATCATCAGGAAATTCATGTTGAGCGCGAAAACCAAGTTTAACTGTTTGCGTTGGTGTATCACCAGTAAGATCTTTTGCTTGTTCCAATATTAAATAACCTTCTTTAACAAAATCAACTTTAATTAATTTTTGTACATCACCAAATATTTTATGTTGATTTATTGTTAAACGTGATGATTCTTCATTACGAATAGAAAATGTTTCACCTAATATAGCCCAAAAATCAGTTGATGTCATTTCTCCACCAGCACGTTTTAAACAAGCTATAATTATCATTAATAAAGCATATTTCGAATATTGATTCGAATTTGTTAATGGTCGATGTTCAAGTGGACCTTTTTTTAAACCATTAACTAATATATAACCTTAAACAGATGATTTAGGAAAATTTTAAATCTTTATTTTGTGTTTTCTTTCTTACCATCGTGTTTTTCATCAGCAACAAGTTTATAACCAAATGTATTATTTAAAGCTCTAACTACATGTTTATGTACACTAGAAAAATGTTTTCGTCCATCAAAACCCATTGGTCGAAGAACTGAATTATTCCAATCAAGTCGTTTAATAATTTGAGGTTTAGAACTATGTACTAATATATATTGAATAGATGCAGAAATAATTTGTTTAAAATTGGCATCATTTTCAAATGTATTATCATTATCATCTGAATCATCTGTACTGCTCATATTTGTTGATACCTGAGATTGTGTTGCAACTTGAGAGAGTTTTTTTGGTGGCATTGTACAGTTAATCTTTTATTCTTTTTTCAAATGAGAATATAAGCCGTTATTTAATTATTTAATTCATTTGTTGTTCATATTGACCAATCAAAAGTCATGACAGATGGTGCTGAACAATCGATCATAAAATAGATAATAAAGATATCAAGAAACATATATTACCAATATTACTGATATAAGGACGATAAGAAAAGAAACAGATGTATTTCGCATATGCGGTGATTTTTATAACTGGTATAATTTACACATGAGTGATTTGCATTGTAGTTTGTACGTTAAATAGAATTGCCGGAACATAATTAATAGACTTTGAACTATACGGCTAATACTGTGAAGTAGAATATGTACATGCAACAAACATAAAAGCTTTTCAAAGGAGATTCGATACTCTGCACAATAGAATTTACTATTATAAGTTACAGAAAACAAACGATACACATTTTCGGTTGACATTATCCATTTTAGATCATTTCGTAATCAGGGGCGTAGCGAGGTCTCCAAGATAGGGGGAGCGTAACACTCCACGCGTCTCCTAGTCGCTACGCCCTTATTCGTAAATTGATCTGATCAAATATTTTGAAGAATAGATGTTAAGATCTGATTATAAAGTACGATATCGAGGTGATTAAAGTCGGAATATTCAACGATAGTAGTGTGTATAAAGTTTTATCATGCGAATTAGTATTTCGAAAACTTCTTTTGCAAGAAAATCATCTTTATAGAATTTCTAATATCATGGATGGTATTGAAAAAAGCGCTTTTCATGGATATGATAAAGATTATTTTGTTAAAAATAATTATCATTATTTTGATTAATAAAATGTGTGAGTTTATAAAAATAATAATACTAATTAAATTTCAATCAATCTTCTTCAACGACATCTTTTGATAATTTATGATTGATGAGATTTTATCGACCAATTAATCAAAGTTGTTTATTTGTTCTGTCCAATGATTCATCATTCATGTCTTCGAACATTTTTTTTTTTAGTTTTTTGTTTTTTAAAATAAAATAATTTCAATTATTAATTTTTCAGATTTTTTCCTTTCAATTATTTACATATACAAATCATGGTTGAATCAAATGATGTTGAAATGAAAGAAGCTGAACCATCAGTTACATCTAACACAACAGCGACATCAAAAGATGCTAATACATTAACATTAGATGGTTAGTTTCAATTCTTTCTTCAAAAAAAGAAATAAAATTTTATTTTTTCATCAAATAGATATTAAAGAACAAGTTCGTACAATTGAAAAAGCAGTAAATTCTAAAGAACCTCGATTTATTCTTCGTGTATTACGTGCACTTGCATCGACACGAAAACGTCTTACTGAAGATATTATTCGTCGTCTTATTATATTTTATTATGGAGCAAATTCGAGTGAAAGAGAAATTCTTCTTGGATATGCACAATCGGTTTCTCAGGTTTATTTTTAAATTATCTAAATATAATATTCTATTTTTTGCTTCAGCCAATGGATGTTGACATGGAAAAACCAAGTACACCTGCACCAGCTGGCGATAAGCAATTAGTACCTCGTTCTCAAACATCAAGAGCACGCGCCGTTGCCTTACCAGAAGTCGATTTATATATTCATTTGATCGTTCTACTCTATTTAATCGATCGAAATTCATTAAAATCTGTATGATTTACCCGTTTTATTTTTATTTCTAAACCATTTTTATTTTTAAGGCACTCGATTGTGCTAAACGACTTGTCGATAAAACAACGGTATTGAATCGTCGTACACTTGATCTACTTGCAGCAAAATGCTATTTTTATTATGCACGTATATTTGAATTAAATAATATGCTTGATACAATTCGACCGTATGTTTCACAATCAAATCAAAGCTTAAAAATCAATTTTTTTTTGTCATTTAGATTTTTACATAGTCGATTACGTACAGCAACTTTACGTAATGATTTTGAAGGAACAGCTGTATTAATTAATTTATTATTACGAAATTATCTTCATTATAATCTTTATAGTCAAGCACAAAAACTTGTATTAAAATCAGTTTTTCCAGATCATGCATCGAATAATGAATGGGCAAGATATCTTTATTATCTTGGTAATAAAAACAAATTATTTCTATTTTAATTTAAAATAAATATATGAATTTTTTCTTCTAAGGTCGTATACGTGCCATGCAATTAGAATATACGAAAGCTCATCAACATTTATTAACAGCTACACGAAAAGCTCCACAACAAACAGCTATTGGCTTTCGACAGAATGTAAATATTTAATATAATTATGATAAAAAAATATTTTTTCTTTTATAGGCCCATAAATTTCTTATAACTGTTGAATTACTTCTCGGAGATATTCCTGATAAAGCAGTATTTAACAATCCACAACTTAAACGTTCATTAGATCCATATTATCAATTAACATTAGGTAAGATAAGGATAAATACTGAATTTTTTATTAATATGAATTCCTTTATTTTCTGTAGCTGTACGTGCTGGTAATTTAAGTCGATTTAAAGAAGTTCTTGAAACATATGCTGATCGTTTTCAACAAGAAAAAACTTGGTCACTTATTATTCGGTTTGTTAATTTTTTTGAAATAGATCTTTACCTTGTTTTATAAATATTCTAGATTACGACATAATGTTATTAAAACCGGCATTAAAATGATTAGTTTATCATATGCTAAAATATCATTTAGTGATGTTGCACAAAAATTACAACTTGATTCATCTGAAGATGCAGAATATATTGTTGCAAAAGTAAGTTTTATTTTTTTTAGAAGTACAAAAAAAGATACAGAGTGGTATTATTATTTAGGCTATTCGTGATGGAGTTATTGAAGCAAGTATTAATCATGAACAAGGTTATGTTCAATCACGTGAAATTATCGATGTTTATACAACACGTGAACCAATGAATGCATTTCATCAACGCATTGAATTTTGTCTTAAAGTACATAATGAAAGTGTTAAAGCTATGCGTTATCCACCGAAAAAATACAATGAAGAATTAGAAACAGCTCAGGTAAATTTAGTACTAATAAATATTCAACATAAAAGTTTTCTTCATATTTTAAGGAACGTCGCGAACGTGAACAAGAAGAATTAGAATATGCCAAAGAAATGGCTGATGATGAAGATGATTTTTAAAATCATTCCGTCTGACGGAATAAAATTCACTAGACATTTATAACATATTTAAACTTGTTACTTTTATTTTAATTTTTGTTTCCTTCATCTTAATAAAATCAAGATTCTCATATAGAATTTCTTTACTTTCCTATAATAAAATTTATCTATTTCTAGATGTTGATTATGCTGAGGAATTTCCTTCAGTATCAACAACTATCAAGATGATGTTCTTTCGTCGACATGTTCAAAAAGCTATACCAGCAAATAATAGTACAGCTTCTTCATCATCTATTCCAATAACTCTTCATACAAATAATAATATAGCTGAAGATGAACATGAATCAGCCGAGAATGAATTATCCACAACACCAACTGCTATATCACCGCTTGAAAAGACGGTATATTTTTCTAATGAAATAGATTCACCTTCATTAACAACATCTACAACAGAACATCTATCTGTAAAACATCCTGGTCTTTTACGTTTATTTGATTCAACTGTATGTACTGTATCTATGATTATATCATATCTATTCAGTTCAAAAGAACCAATTGTACAACAATTTCTTGGTAAAAAATTATTTGATTTACCTTATGAAGAACTGGATTTTTATTTACCACAATTGATTAATATGTATATTCATATACAATCAATTTCAAATGTTATCCATGATTATATAACTTCAAGGTAAAATATCTGTAAGACAAGTCAGATCACTTTCGTGTTCTGCTCTTAAAAATCTAAAACATATCTATAAAATCATCAAATTAAAGATTTGGAATAATTTACTTTTTTTTTCCTATTTAGATGTTGTCAAAGTGTTGAGTTTTCCCTACAGTGTGCATGGTTACTTGATGCATACATTGCTGATCAAATGAAAGTAGCGAAACCGAATGCGGCTGTTCGACTTTTATTTGATATTTTATATGAAAAATATAAACCAAAAATCTCATACATACCAACAACAATCAATAATTTGGGCAATAATCATCATAGATTAGATGAAGAAGAAAATGAGAATGTTAATAATCAAGATGATGATATGAAATCAGAACGTGCATTAAGTCAAGATAATCTCATGTTACAAATAAATAGAAAAAAAGGACATCAAAAATCAAGAAGTGATGTTTCAGGTACAATATTTTCAAAGGAATATAGTTCGTTTTTTTTCAATAAATAAGTATGAATTGTAGGACTTATCTTATATCGGAATAGTAAGTTGTGTGAGAATTCTATACTAACATATGAGTGACTACTTACTAATGATATTTATATGAATAGTTTCTTTTTTTATATCGATTTTTTTATTATTAGAACGTTCATTACCCATTATAAATGGTGAAACAAGTAAACAATATCGTCGTCAAGCAAGACTTTGTTTAGGTGATCTAAACTCAGGTCGTGCTTTTGATAATAATTGTATATGTTTCGAAAGTGTTAATGGTTTCCGACGACGAGAATGTACATGCAATGTAAATATTTTCTTTTTAGAATTTTCTTATTATTTTATATTTATATATTTTTTTTAGGCACCTAAATTAGCTCCAGTACGAGAATTTATGACAGCATTGATTAATATCGGAAAGAAACTACCACATGTACCAACAAAAGAAAAGAAAAGTGAATAGTTAAATTAAAGAAAAATGATTAAAAATGAATAAGTATTTTATTTGTTTTAGCACAAAATTTAATCGGTGAAATGAAACGAATGAATATGAATTTACCAGCTCGAATTTGGATCCCATTTTATAAATTTCCACATCATGTTGTTCGAATTGCATATACAGAGTCAACTGTATTAAATTCTCGAGATCGCGTATGTATCTAACAAATATATTTTACCTATCTTTACTTCTTTGTACAATAGGCACCGTATATTGTTTATATCGAAGTGGTTCTCTGTGACAATGTATTTGCATCTCCGTTACCAATCAAACAACATGAGTCAAAGCTACGTTCAACACGTTCAGAAGAAAATCTTACACATCATATTAATAATCATCAAATACCATCGAATGGTGTAGCCATCGGTGGTTATCTCAATTGTGAAACTCAAAGTCTCGATTCAGAATTAATTGATTCATATCGATCATTTGTCAATAGTGAAGATGCAGATATATGGTCAACTAGTGATGATGTTACTAGTGATGATCAACAGCAACAGCAACAACAGCAACAACAACTACAACAACAGCAGCAACAGTCAGTAGCTAGACGTAATGGTTTAATAGGGTATCGATCTAATCATACAATGAATATTAATCCTGAAACTCTATCAATACGTTCAACCGAAAGTCATTTAAGTCAACAAGAAATTATGCCATCAGATATTCGAAAACGATTAACAGAAGTAAAAACAACTGGACCTATTTTATTTGAAGTAAATTCACTTGAAATTTATTTTTCTATTGAAATATTATTTATTTATTTATTATTAGCGTGATCCTGATGATCCATCAGCAGCAGCATTAAAAGAACCATGGGATAAAAAAGAACAACGAATTCGTCAATCATCACCATATGGTCATTTAAGAAATTGGAGACTGGTTGCAGCCATTGTTAAATGTGGTGATGATCTTCGTCATGAATTACTTGCTTATCAATTTATGGTTCGATTAAAAGAAATTTGGTTACATGAACATGTACCGGTGTTTGTACGTCCAATTACTATTCTTGTTTTATCAAATAATAGTGGTAAAAAATTAAAATATATATTTTTCTTTATATCATTGAATTATTGCTAGGTTTAATTGAGCCAATTTTAAATGCCGTATCACTTCATCAAATAAAGAAAAATTCAAAATTATCATTGAGAAATTATTTCTTACGTGAATTTGGTACAGAAAGAAGTGAACAATATTTAACAGCCGTCAAAAATTTTGTACAAAGTAATGCTGCTTATTCAATTATTTGTTATTTATTGCAAGTTAAAGATCGGTAAGAAATTATTCTTTGATTTAATTAAGAGCGAATAATTATTTTCATTTTTAGACATAATGGAAATATTTTATTAGATGATGAAGGTCATGTTATTCATATTGATTTTGGTTATATGTTATCTGCAACACCTAAAAATCTTGGTTTCGAAAGTTCACCATTTAAAATAACACAAGAATTTGTTGATATTATGGGTGGATTGCAAAGTGATATGTATGGTTATTATAAAATACTTATTCTTCAAGGTTTATTAGCAGCTAGAAAACATATGGATAAATTAATGCCGATTGTAGAGATAATGCAGCATGGTAAAAATATAAAATAAGAAATTTTTAATTGAAAAAAACAATGATTTTTGTTCTTCTATTATTTAAATTAGGTTCACAATTGAATTGTTTTTCCAAAGGAAATGTCACATTAGGTTTACGTGAACGATTTCATCTAAATATGACAGATGAACAATTAGAATTTAATGTAGAAAAAATGGTTGAAAGTAGTCTAAATTCTTTGACAACAAGAGTTTATGATACATTTCAATATTATACAAATGGTATAAGTAAATGACAAAATGAGATATTTAATAGAGATTTATTTTTCTTTTTGCACTCATATCAAGTATCAAAAGAAGAAGATGAAAAAAGAACACTCGGGCTGCTTTTTTTTTATTGTTATATTCATGTTGTTGTTATTTTTTTTCTCTCTCTCTTCATTTGCTATGTCTTCTCGTTGTTGTTTTTTCTTTCTTTGTCTCTCTTTTATCGGTTGTACAGCGAGAATTCATTTTACAAATAGGCTTTTTTCTTAACTTGTACTTGAATGTTCCACTATATTTATGATGATGTTGACTCAATTGGTTAATATGTGTGAGGGAAACAAAAATATATATTATACAAACTCGTTTGTCTTTATTTCGATGTTTTTGTTGTTTATCCATTATTTGTGGAGTACACTATTAACTTTTTGTTCGTTTTTTCTTCGTTCTTTTTACAACAAAAAAGTTAATGAGATTATAGTTACTAAAAAAGATCAAATTTCTCATTGAATTACTGCTGTAAGAGATTCTGTTGGTTAATTACGGTCTCTATCTCGCAGTAAACTGTACTAAAATGTAAAAAAATGTCTTCTTAATTCATTGGATATAAATGCTACTTGTAGTTTTTTATCATGGCTAGTTCCTTCTATTCAAAGAAGGGTAATGTACCAGGTAGATGCAAAAAAAACGACGAGATGTTGATTCGTTTGTTCATTATGGATATTCTCAAAAAACTTCACTGAAGATAATCAGATGTGGGTGTAGGTGGCTGTGGATGGGTGAGGGTGTGACTGTAGGTGTCGGTGTAGATGAAGGGAAGACTACCATCCACACCCACCTCAACCCCATACTCACAGCCGCACCTACACCCATCCTAACCTCACACCCACACCCACCCTCAAGCTATAGTAAGCTCAGTCTGTGACAAATATTAAGCAAGCAACATTTTTTATTCCTACAATAATGTTTAAAACAATAACTAAAGTTTTAAAAGTATATGTTAACGAAGAATATTAATTTTACAACGTGAATAGAGTCGATTCGTTCTTGCGAGTATGTCATGTCTTCGACTTTGTTAAATAGGGATTTTGTCGCAGTATGTAGAATATTGTTTCAGTCATATATCTTCAAAGATATTATAAAGCAGATGCGTTTAATTTCAATATATGAAAACGTCGACGGATATGTGATTTTAGTTTCCTAAATTCTTCTCGATAAACGGGTGCTGATAGAATAAAAATTTGAAAAATAAATGCGGATGGTATAAATGAAAGGAAATAACCGCTTAGATAGAACCATAATAGATGGGATGATTTGTTACAGTTTAAAATGAATGAAATAATTAAATGCGGTAGTGTTAAAATTATGATAATAATTGGACTAATTATAAGATGTTTATAATGTTTTATTTTCATTTTAAGGAGGTCTTTGAATCTTGGATTACTTTTAGCAGCCGTTCGGTAACGCTGACGAGTCGTTATTATGATAATGGTAATAGCAGATATCACATTAGTTGCTAACGGTCCAATATAATGAAACATAATCAAAGTAAAACTATATGTTTGCATGAATGATGAATAAGTAATGACGCACCAACTTCGTTCTTCTATGCTGTCAGTAAAGACATGAAGTTCAATTATTTGAAGAGCATAGACACCGAAGTTGCTAAGAAATACCATTATCACTGCATATTTGGCAATTGTTTTACTTTTCTCTGCATTAAAACTAATTCCTTGATGTACAGAAACGATTCGTTCGATAGATACACAAGCATTCAACCATTTGTCTATGTTTAATAACACTTTCAGAAGAGGTTCAACAATTCGACAATTTGTGAGAAGAATCGCTTGTAGACTACGATGTTCAAAAATCAATTGATAAGAGAAAAAAAGTAGCCAAAATTTAAGTGGAAATAAGATCATAATCGTTAGCGAAGTATACGACGCAGCTAAAAGATAGATTCCACAACCAACCTTTTGTGATGCTTGTCTACGAAAAACCATTATTGATAAAATACAATTAATAGTACCTACGGCAAATATTATCATTGTAATAGCGGCACTCACTTTTACTGTGATAGGTTGTTTAGATAATATTGTATTACGTTTTAACTCGTAACCCAATATTTCATCTAATGTTGAGCCAAGACCTTTAGTATAGAATTGACATTCATTTCCAAAGAAACAGGCTGGACATATACAAATTCTTGTCGATGGACAAATCGGATGATCTTGCACACATTGTGCTCCATTTGCGCAATATTTTGTCAATGAACATTGAAAATTTCTATCACGTTTGAATTCCATACAATTGGCATGATGATCATTTGTGCACAAACATAAATAGGCTGGATCAATGAAGCATATCAGATCAGTACGTGTGTGACAGAGAATATGAAAAAATATAATTCGTCGATATGGAACCATTTTCGTTACTGTAGAATTCAGTAATTGTTCAGTAGCAATACACTCTTGTGAAGGCTGAATTAATGTTGAAATATCTGTCTGTAGAGATTGTTGAAGTACACCAAGATAATATTTGCCACTGGATTGAATAATTACTATATGATATGGTATTGAGATGTGGAAAGTAGTAGTATGTTGAAATAGCGTCAATTTTCGTAGTATAATTGTCTGCATCGGGTGAGATGTATTGGAAAGTGTGAAGAAATAAGCCGTAATATATGATGGAATATGCATGTTAATCAGAGAAACATCGAGTCTGGCCTTACTATATTGACAATTTACGCCGAAAAATTGATCAGGACAAACACAAGTATAACTGCTGTCAGGAGAAGTCACATCAGCTGGTATACATTTTCCATTATTTTGACAAATATTAGTTGGACATGCTGATGTGAACGTACATTGCTTACCAAATTTATGTAATGGACATACACATATTGATTGGTTGTTTACTAATCCCAAATAGAATGAATCGTATGAACACGTTTGACGACTTATCGGGATATTGCATTGAATGCCTGTCCATTGAGAATGACATCGACAGAAATATTTTTCTTTGTTTAGATACTTTACACAGGTACCATTGTTGCAAGCAATCAAACAATTGAACGATGTCTGAATGATACGATTTGATAAAACCAACGAGATAGCTAGCCGATTGACAGGTAAGAAGAGAAATGTTATGGGAAAGTGCCAACTTCCAACATATGTTATCCCGTTTTTTTCGAATGCATCAATACGTATACTGTAGTTCTTGGACAAGTCTTTTGGTCGTGTGGAAAATAATAAATATCGGTTGAATTTAGTACTACAACTTTCCTTTGTGATGTATACAAATTGATCGTATACGTTAATCTCTTGTTGTTCATCATTATCATCGATTAACATAATAATAATCGCATAAGTAGCATGTCGATCAACTGAACTCACATGTAATGTAAGACTAATTCGTTGGTTTTGATATTGACATAAATGACCGTAGTAACTTGGTGGACACATGCATATATTGTCGAAGCTATTGTTTGTGACCCAAGTATTAACAGCGAGTCCACGATTACAATACGATGGCGATAGGCTAGCCTCACTGTGATCTATATTGACATTCTCGATAGAATGCCGTTCTGTTGTCCAATACAAACTTTCATCGACGACACTATTTTCTAACGAAGGATAGTTAGACGATGTATGAATAGCAAAATACTGTCTTCTTCGATTTTTCTGTTCATTCAATCCACAAAGAACCTCTTCTATTTCGCTGCGATTGTATGTCGAATCGTTGTCACACTTGAATTGATGAGTATTACAAAAGTTTTCATCATCGCCAAGTGGACAATCGTTATTGTTATTGCATAATTCTGATGGTACCAAACACGTTGTATCTCCCAAGCAGCGAAAGCGTTCTGGAGTTTCGCTCGGAGGATAGATCTTTTGACATTCGTGTTGTTCGTCGGATGCGCCAAGGCAATCATCGTGTCCATTATTAATTCGTGTGTGAGGTAAGCAGAATACTGTAAAATTAAGAGGATCTATGCAGGTATGAGTTCCCGAATGGCATTTTGTTCGACTACAATTGTATTCATCTCGTCCGTCGGCACATGCCCAGAAACCGTCGCAACGTGCATACATATTGTTACATAACCACTCTTCACACTCGAACTCGTCATTATAATATTGTTGAGAATTATCGTAGTAAATGGATTGGTTGATACCATTACAAAAACGTTGAAATGGAATATTGTCGTCCTGTCCAGTCATTGAACAAGCATCCTCTTTCAATATAGAGGACCAGCATGTATCTGTATTGTGACATTTCACACGGTATTGATGGTTAAGTTGGCAACTATTTCGATAGTTCTCATCATCATCAAGGAAACAATCTTGTATATCATCCATGATGCGATATACGGAAATGAAGTTCGATGTATTGCGGCAGTTATATAATAACGAATGATCCACATCTTTTTTTGTTTTGTTGCGTAGAGTCTTATGAGAAATCAAACACGGACGGAAGTATATTTCAATCGACCGCAACAGTCTGTACAAAGGCCCGTTTTTAATATTCAATGTTAGCACTAATTTGGACATATTTATACAAGTGAGATTTTCACGAATTAAGTCAGGCTTCATAAAATCACATAGTTGTTGATTGTAGCAAAGATAATCAGGTAGAAGAAATTCGTTCGTTTTTTGTCTTAAATAAGGCTCTTCGTAAAAGAAACGAATATGATCAGAATAAACTGGAATAGTTGGAAATTGAAAAAACGAATCACATTGTTTGAGGAACTCGTAAATTGAGTCGTTCATCAGCCATATTTTACATGAATTCCCATGAATTTGCTCGGCGAGTCCAGTGAGACAAATCATAGCAATCCAACATTCGTCTGTTAGATTACCTTTGGCTGTCATCGAATCTATCAGTAACCTGTGTCGCCCATTATAGCATTCATCAAATTTTCTGACACATTGGCCATCTCCGCAGGGAAATGTACCCTCGTGTGTTCTGCAAGAATGTTCTTCACAACGGAATGTTGGATCTTGGAAACAGGATTTTTTATAGAAGGCACCCAACATTTCATCCGATCGATCGAGACAGTCAGCATCGCCTTCACCCTCTTCCCAAAGTTCGCTTGATATACATAATCCATTGTGGCATCGATATTCATTTTCTCTACATTCATTTATTTCCATATCGAAGCAATATTCTTCGTCGAGACCTTCATCAGAACAATCAACGATCCCATCGCACACTTCACGCCAATCAAGACACCAACTCCGTCCATTACGATGGCATTCTAGAAGAACATAGCATGGAACCTGTACTATCACTTCTGATGACTCGAAGAATGATGTCCTTCGGCGAAAATCGGCTTCAACAATTTGGTTGAAAGATCTGCGGCTGCCGAAAGGAAACGAATATTGACACCGAGGGCCAAACCACGGTTCAGTACAATTGTAGAGATTCTCATTAAATGCGACATTCGGTTCAATTAGATAGAATTGATATCGTTGAGCTACATCAATCGAAATTGACCACGAGAGAAGTTGTTCTGGCGTAGTATGAGCCAGACGTAATTCTTCGAAACTTAGTTTTTGCGAAAGCGGATGAACAGAGGTTTCAGGTAGTCGTTCGGAATAGTGTACTGGACGAAAACAGTATGGAATGACTTCATCAATGATATCTAATAATTTAGAGTAAGCCTGTTTCTCACGATGCACATGATAATTCAAGCAATTATATTGTAAAGAATTGCTGTTAATTGCTTTATCAGTATGGTATAAATTCAATTGACACGTAATAGTTGTCCATTGAATTACAATTATTAGTAGAAGCTGAAAAATGATTGTACCTTTGTTTAATGAACTTGTGTCCATTATCGACCGTGTTTATTTGTATCTTTATCGGCTGTATGAGTATAGACTGTCTATAGTCCAGAGAAATAAAAAGTTATATATTTGTAGTGAGAGGAAAGTTTTTCTGCTATGATATGAATGTGAATGAACAATTAATGTCAGCGACAAACTTGTCTACAAGTAATAAAAAACGTTAAAAAGAGAATAAAACCATGCTCAAACAACTAATAAACGTGTTAAAACGATAATGTTAGTTTCATGATAGTATATAGTTATATATGTTAGAGGAAAAAAATCAACATCAGTTTAGTCATACTCTACGTATTGATACTTCATGCTTTATTACTAATGCGTAGAATAATGATCATATAATCATGATATAAAGTTTATCCAACAAGGAAAACTATACTCTTTCCTGATACCAAACGATATATCGACATAGAATGTAACCTGATCTGTTCGGCGGCTGTCGTTTTCACAATCAATCTTGAGGGTGGGTGTGGGTGTGGGTGTGGGTGTAGATGTTTTACTCTTCTTTTATCCACAGCCACATTCACACACTCGAGTGGATGGCCCAGAACAAAGAACTCTGCTTTGTATTTCACATTTTAATTGCTGAAAACGTTTTATTAGAAAATAAAATATGCTACAAGATTCAAGGCAAAAAGTTCTACAAACCCCATAGTAAAGCTTATTTCAGTTTTCAAAAAAAATAAAATATGTCTGCGATCAATTGTGGAGGTACGTTATGATAGAATTTGCTTTCTAATAAAATATTTGTCAAAAATTAGAATATGAGCTGCGAAGTGCGATGATTTATTCTGAGTTACCCGTCACTTTCTATAGAGAATGAATCGTCGCGAAAGGGTTAATTCGAATAGTTATTGTGTAAAACTAGTTTGATGTGTTGATAAGGCGATTGGCTCACTATCAATCAAAATAGTCAATAATTCAGTTCGATTTCAGTGTCTATCGGTAGTCTTGTTTTGTCACTTTTATACGCTTTACCAAGTCCATATTTGTTATTTTTTTTCAATTTTATACATTCAAATCTATTGTAAGAAATTTTCAATGGATTTCCATTTCATTTTACATGTTGCTTACACTAACGAACAAAAAAATCTGCTTCGACATGAGATTCAAAGTCATACGCATTGCGCAATGTCAGACATCTAGGGTAGATGTAAAGTGTGATTTCGGCAGCAAATCTCACTACTTTATCGGTTCTCTTTCGGTAATGTAGATTGTTTTAATATCGACGTTCATCGAGCAAGATAAATTGAAAATATAATATTTTTTATGAATTTTATATATAACCATACTGAAAAATGATATTCAGTTGTTTCTTCATCATATATAGAGCACAATAACTCATGAATCTGTTCGTTTTTCGACTGACTACACTATCAAGATACAATTGAAAAGTTCAATTCTGTTAAAAGCAATCCAGATTATTCGAACTTCCGATAAGGTTCATAAACTGCAATACTGTCGTTATCTGTATAGATACAGAAAATGGGTCGATTCATCTTTCAATGTATCTTTACATGTTTATTTCAGTAAGATGTATAGTTTTATTAATTCACAAAAGAAAATTCACTCAAATATATCTTAAAAATTCTTGAATAAATATCATTGATGCAGTTGTATGGTGTGTACTGATCAATTTTTACAATGGCATTGTAGACGACCATTATCTAATTTACAAATACCTGTTCTGTAACCGCGATCTTGACAGTGATCTCTACATTGAGCTCGGTCGTAACTTGAGCCGTCGCAATCGAAATGGCGGACATCATCGTTTAATGCAGTTTCATTTGCAAACATCACTGAAAAATAGACACTCGTTTAACGATTAATAATTCTCCTTAATCATAATTACTTGAGTTTTCACGGAGCTCATTCGTTCCTTGAGCCATCAACAACAAAACAAAGAAGAATAAAATAGATATCACTTTTATTGAAGTCATAGTATCTATATAAATCATATGATCATATATATTTAAAATCGCTTCAGATGAATACTCACCTATATATATATATATCAGATTGATTGATTTGAATGAAGCTAAGAATTGATTTATAAATTCTGATGGTAGAACAAGATATATATATAAGGGAGAGATATCGTTATATTGTCACATGTGAATGGAAAACTGGCCACCAGATGACTAGGAAGAGTGAGAATTATGGATTTCTCCATGTAACGCCCACGATTCCAAACGAAATTGCATGTTATCTATCCAACATAATCATGTAATATTTCGTCATGATGATTCGTGTATGAATAATAGTGTGATTATACTTTTTTCCAATAAAAAAGAAACAAGGAAGTAAGCCCACGGAATGTGGAAATAGGACTGATAAGAAAACGATAAGCTACGAATTATCATCATAATGATTCATGCATCCTGTTGTAAAAGAGGAAATAGATGATTCTTTTCTTGGGCAAGTAATATCTTCAAAATCACCAATTTTTGTTTTCAAGTTCTTTGAGAATACTTTATATTCACTCGGAAAGATAAATGACTGGAGATAAGTAACAAAGAGCAAAATAAAAAGACCATTGGATGTTGTAATATCACCAAAACATGATCAATTGTTATCAACATTACTAGTCAAAAGAACATCAAAAATGAATTACGGTGTCCTGATTTCTACTCATTCAATCATCGAGCTTAATTCAATTAAAAAAACTGGTAAATTAATAAGTGAAATAGTCTAGATTGCATGATGTCTTGACAAGTGATTTCATACAGCAAAATATCTCTAAAATTATATTTATTGATATTATTGAAAGTTTTGTTGCCAAACAAGAGTGAATACTAAAGCTTTTTTTTATACACAGTCAAGACTGAAGTGATTATTATGTATGTAATAATATGATCCTACCGAACCATTCTTTCCATTGATGAAAAAAATTGTATAACATGTGATTTAACAAAAAGAGTTTTAGCCATATTCAGTACTACAATATGAATAACAATTAATGAAACTTTATAAACACAATGATAATGGTAAACATTGCCTTTCAAGAAAGTTAAGAATGTTTGAAAACGAATTATTTGAGTTTATGAGTAAATATGTATACTTATAACGTCATTTTATAAAATAAAATACTGACAATCGATCATCATCATCAATAAATGTTCCATTTTGTATCTATTTAATTACTATTTTTCTTAAAAGAATCCCTACGGAATGAAATTCATCAGAAACACATCGATTTCACAGCGCTGTAACGTCAATATCGTCATCCGCCTTCCAATAAGAGCACATGCTATTTTCTCACAAGCAATGATTCAATATTCATATCTTTACTACTGTCTTTTCAAGTTGAAAGCGATGACTAAATATGAATAAGCTGTGTAAAAAAAAGTGTCGTATTTTTTATCTATCTTACGACATAAAATCTTGTTATGTTAAGCATAGATATGTTGATACTTTTCTTGTTAGTTTTACTCAAACGACAAAACAAATAATGCAAAGAGATTTATTTTAGATATCTGTGATCAATAGCGATGACCGTTTCATTGCGCTTAAAAGAGCTTTGATAAACAGATTTTAAATCTCTATGAAATAAAACTTTCATAATCAAAAGCATCTTGAGGGTATGGATATGGGAGACGAACAGATCAACATTCACCCACATCCCAAGAAATTCCGACTCGGATTACTGCCTCCACGAAATCTCCGAGAAAACTCAAAACTGGCCGTTTCCTTGCCTTGTTGGCTAGCTTGGGGATGGAAATAAATGAATCATGAAGAGAAACAAAGTTCAATATTGAGAGTGGGTGTGGGTGGGTATTATTGTAGATACTATAATTATCTCTCACACCCACACCCTCAAGATGCAGCTGATTTCTCCGTAAACATGACTGAGGAATATTCCTTTGTTTTTCGAACTATAAATAAATCCATCTATCACATATTGTTTCTATTGGTTCAAGGAACGAGAATTTTCTATATTTTGTTTAATCGATTCAAATTAGAGATAAAGGATATGTCGTTATTTTTTTCTTTTAGATAATCATGTCTCTTCTTCTCGATCGTATTCCAATCGAAATCTTTCATATAATCTTCGATTATTTCTGGGCTCATGAAATTCTCCATTCATTTAATAATATTAGTAATTATCTGGATAGTATTCTATCAAACTATAACCGTTACTTGATCAATTTCGAATCCATTCGTAAATCTCATTTTGATCTTCTCTGTCGTTCCATTCGACCAGAACAAGTGATTACTTTAATTTTATCGGATAAAATAGAAACAATCAATCAATCCCAATTATTTCAATCGTTATTTTCCATTGAACAATTTACGCATTTGCGTGCATTAAAACTTATCGAATTAGATGATGATGGTGAATCGTTTTTCTCCAGTTTATACAAAATGCCAAAACTATTATCTCTTGAAATCAATACCAAAATAAATGTTCCATTGATAAAACGTTTACCATCACTCGAAACATTTATTATTAATATTCCATCTGGTATACATTTTAATCTTGATCCATCGATTTCGATGATTCAATTTAAACAATTACGGCACTTGACATTATCCAATTGTAGCTGTCGACAATTACAAAAAATCTTTGATCAAGCTGTTCAGCTTACATCGGTGAATATTTCTTTTACGTTCTTAATCTCGGATGAATTACATGCATTTGTCAATTTTCATCAAGAAAAAACAAGATTATCTTCACTTATTTCTCTAAATTTGTTCGTTAATGGAGGTGGTAAGTATATAAATCATGCAAAATCATATTTACCATTTGTTTCTTTTTCTGGTCATAAAATAATGCGTAGTTATGTCGAACGATTTCTTGCTCCATTACAACGTTTACGACGATTAGAATTGGTCATTCCTTTTAGTGCTGAACATTCATTATTTGATGCAGATCAATGGGAAAGATTTCTTTCAAACCATTTACCACGATTATCAACATTTAATTTCAACATCTCTTCTTGGGGTAGCGATACAAATATCATTGATCAATATCGTCGTCCATTCTGGCTGAATAGACATTGGTATGTTGCTTGTAATGATGATCATTCGTCTCTTTTAACTGTGCCATACTTTGCATCAACATTAATGAATCATTCATCCACTCCATTATCGCCAAATTGTACCACATTACCTATCGAACAACATCATATCTTTTATGATTGTGTCACTGATTTTACATTCGATTTCGATGAATGCAAATTACCTTCTCGTTATAATTATGTGAAAAAACTCTTTCTTCGTTGTTCTCATATTGAAGATAATGTTGTCGATCTCTCACAAGTACAAACATTTATTGTCAGTACCACTGAATGGTCATTGTACAAGATTATCACATTAATTAAAGAAGCAATGCCAGCTGTTAATTGTCTTAGTTTGAACTATGCTTATCCTCGTGTATCTTATCAATGTTTGGAAAATATTTCTCTAAAACAAGTTCAAAACTTATGTTTGCCTCAATATGGAAAATCTGAAGGAATTAAACCATTTAATTGGTCGCAACTCTTTCCATGTGTCGAACGATTACATATTTCGATTAATTCCAAAAGTCAAATTAAATGTTTACTCAATCAATTTAGGAATCTGATCAGTGGATATTTTTATGTTGGTTTCGGTCATCAGAATAAAAATAAATCAATTCAAATAACACGTTCATGGTTACAGAAACAAATATCTAGTTCAAAAGGAAAAATTACAAAGAATTTTACTTATCGAATCGACAATCAATTCTCATTTTCATTATGTTTATGGATCGGTGAAAATTCATATTAGAATCATCTTTATGAATAGGTGTTTATTTTTAGTTAGATCAAACATTACAAATTAATGATGCATAATGCCGGTGTTTATCATTGTAATAGACAGAACAGTTTTGTTTCTTAATTTCTTTTACTTTATTGTAAATAGAGCAACTGTTATGCTCGCGAAAGTAGAAATTCTAACTTCATTAACAATTATGATTAATGTTTTTTTTTATTGTATTTCACTTCTTATCTTTAATAATATACGATTTGATGTTACTTGAACATGTCATTGGAATTTGTTATTTAAAAGTTTGACTCAACAAATGTCGATAGATTTAGCAAAACAGAGGAGAACTGCTGTGTCATAATTGACAACGAGAATTTGGATCCTATGAAAAAAATCATGAATATTTTTTCGGTTGGTATAGTTTACTAATAGTTATATTGAATAATCGCGAAATTTAGTTTGAAAAAAGATATTTTATTTATAATTTATTCATGTTAAACCAATTTTACTAAAAAATAAACTAAAAACTCATTTCCATTGTAAATAAATATGTTCATAGTCACGTTGAATTGTGTAATTAACAAGTAATTTTTCCGAATTAATCATTTTTTCAAATTTTTTTACCATTTCATCATCAACTGTTGGAATATGAAAACACAATAAACGAAGACGTTCAGTCAATTTACAATCAATTTTCTCCAAAATATTTCGTACAAAAATTTCAACATTGATCTTATTTGCATAATCTATTTTAAGATATACCATCGAAGAACAAAGTCTCATAAGAAAATCAATATCTTCAATTTTAATCATTTTCCTCAAATAAACATATTTAATTTGACTTGTATTTTTTATCGAAGAAAGAATATCAATTTCTTTTGAAGATAATTTTCTTGGTTTATTTATTGATAAAGAATGAAGTTTTAGTGATATGAGTTGAGGTAATGCACCAAGTATTTGAATTAATAAACCAATAAAAATCTTATCATAGGGAATTTCAACATGATAAATTTGTGAAATAAATAAAACATGATAGATTTTATCGATTAGTACTTCATAAGATTTGTTATAAGGAATATCATGGAGAATTAAGCGATTAGATTGAGAATGTCCGGTGAAAGAATTAATAATTTTATCTTGTGTATCTTCATACCATCGTTTTCTAAAAATAATAAGATGGTTAATGTAATATAAGATCGTTTTTTTATTGACGTACTTCAATGGTTGAATTAAATACTTGTTAAATTCATAATCGATTGTAATGTTAACTCTCATTTGTCGCTCGATCCAAAATGGTGAATTGAATTGAATTGGTTCGTCTATGCATACAGGAGGTGAATAATAATCATCTGTATCTTCATTTAACTCTAAGGAAAATTTTTCCAAGTGAGGTAAATATTTTATAATTAATTCTTTCCATTGATCATCATCACGATAAGAACTATCTTCACAATTCATACCAATAGTAACACATAAAACTTTTAATTTGGAATCTATTCTTCTAATAAATATTTTAAATTCATCAAAGAATAAAGAAGAAATACATATCCGTAAATATGTTAAATTTGATAATGTTAGAGGTAATATGGTTTCATAACTCGGATCAATTTTGTATGTATGTAAAAGATTCAATCGACGAAGTTGGGGTGTATAAGATATGATATTCGAAAGCTGTTCGAACGTACAAAAATGATGAATATCCATATATTCAATAGTACTAAATTGTTTATGAATAGGTGGTGACAATGAAGTCGATGTATCTCCGCAACGTTTTGTGAATTTGAAATATTTTAACAATGGTAATGTGAAAACGATTCGATAAATATTCGTTAGATCTTCTAAATGATCCGATAAGTCGATAGTTAATGAAAAAAGACGTGGTAGACAAGGTAACTCAATAAGAAGTGACATAATTTGGTCTGAATGAATTTTCTGAAGAACAAGTGATTCGAGACGAGAAAAAGTTGAGTTGATAGTAAACTCTGCACAAAGTTGATTCATACGAAATGGAAGACACACATAAATCGAAAATATTTGTTGTTTATTTAAAAGTATAAATTGTTTCCATTTATTCATATGTTGTTTTTTTGACAGTCTAAAATGAAATTTAATTTTAAGTAGATAAGATGAAGATTTAACAAGTTGTTGAAAACGTTCATTAAGATTTAAAAATGCATAATAGACGTCACAACCATCGAGATAATCGAATATTTCGTAGAACATTTCATTAGATAGATTTTCAATTGAAGTACTAAATGATAATTTATATATATATATGTAATAGTATAATCTTGTTTAGTCTAACTTACGTTTGTACATCAGTATCGACCTTATCTCGCGCGACTGTTATAGTTTTATAATAAAATCGATTAAAACGTAATTCTCGTTTGATTTGATTCATCTTGTTATTAGAAAAATTCAATATGATCTGAAAAAAACATTTATCGATATGTTTGTTGGTTACGAAAATAATAGCATATGAAAGAAAATAAGAATTTCAATGCTTTTCTTACACTTGAAAGAAAAGAATGATTAGTACACGAACGTCTTCGTCATTAACAGTACCGATTTACAATTTTTAGATTCAGATTCGAGAAATTTCGTTCATTTCGTCTTCTTCATCGATTACTTTACCACTACTAGGATAATCTCTATCTAGATGTCACCTACACACAATATTTTTTTCGTTTAGTTGAGTTTTCTGTGTCTAGAAGATAATAACAAACATGTCATAGGTATGGTTTTAGTTGTATTTTCATTTGAGTCAAATCATTTCAAATGCATCGGTTTCCATATTCATTTTTTTAATGATCAATATCTCTATTAAAAACAATGTTTATCAGAATCGCTTAACAATATCTTGTATTTTCTGTGGAAACAAACCAAATTTCCTATACTATATCGTTTAAAGGTTACTCAATAATAATAAAGAGAGAGAGAAAGAATACCATTGTTTTCATTGACGACGATATCAGTCAATGCAAATCAATGAATATAGCATATATAATCTTAGAAAAGTACATATTACGTAGACAAATAAATATGAAAGATTTCTTGGTTCAGTTAGATGATTTACCGGATGAAACTCTTATGTCTATATTTAAAAAATTGTGCAATTTTGAAGTACTTTATTATTTAATGGATGTTAATCAACGAATCAATAGAATTGCACGTGATAGAATTTTTACTCATCATTTATGTTTATTAGAATATTGTCGAATCGACGATTCTTCGATTCCATTATCAGGTCCAATACTTGGTCGGTTTTGTTCAAAAATTTTGCCTGAAATTGGACATCAAATTGAAACTCTCTATCTTGAAAGAACATCAATAGAACGTGTACTTCGTGCTACAAACTATCCAAATTTAAATAACCTTGGTTTATGTGATATAGACGACGATAAACTAGTTATGTCTCTCTTCTGGTAAGAGCTTTTCTTTGTAAAATTTCAATTAGTTATTGAAAAAACAAAATGATTTCTTTGGAACATCTTAATAGAATTAAAAATTATTTATACAAAATTATTTTTCAAGATTAATATAGAGAAACACCAATAATATAAATAAGTGAGATAGAACACAACATTCATCATATATATATATAAGAATGGAAATGTTTATCTTAGATAGCTTAATCGACTCAATCGAAATACATATGAGAAATATTTTTTATTGTTAATTTTAAAACTTCATTTAGATACAAATTCTTTAATTCATTTGTTTAACAATCAAATTTCATCACTCTTTATCAGTTTTAATAAAAAAAACAACTCGTTTGTAAACAATACCAGCTATTCGTATATATTTGCAAAAATCTTAACAATATTTACTAATCTAAGATGTTTAAAACTCAATCCATATTTACCCATTAGTGGCACTTTGTTTCTTGGTATGACACTTGAAACTGCTATCTCTCCAACTTTATTAGAATTACATATCAATGTCTCTGATATGACAGACTTTAATCATATACTAGATGGACGCTTTGATCAACTTCGAATACTTTATATTAACATTGATAGTATTGGGATTTACTATCCCTATAAAGAACTAAATGTAGGTAATTTTTATTATATTTTGTTTGTTTAAATGAGCTGGTTTATTTTTATTTTTAGAAAAACCTATTACCAAATTTACGGATTTTCTCTTTGTGTTGCTATTGTACGATATGTATAGATAGTTTTAATAAATCACTTGTGCCATTTCTACGTCGAATGATAAATTTGGAAGAACTTGATTTAAATATTAACGTTCTATGTTATGAAAAAGTTATTGATGGTGATATATTGAAGAAAGATATTATGATTTATATGACACGATTATATAAATTCACATTTAATATTTGTTCAACCATTAAACATCGTAATCAAACCAATTTTTCATTAAATGAATCTATTGCAAAAACATTTAAAATTTTTTCTAATGATCAAATAATTACTAGTATCAATCATTTCGAAAGATATAGTAAATGCCGTATTTATTCATGTCCATATCAATGGAGAACGTATGATGATATAACAAACAATTTTCGAGATGGATTATTTACCAATGTTACTCAAGTATCATTATATGATGAACATCCATTTGAAGATGAATTTTTTCTTCGAATTTCCAAATCATTTCCATTTATGAAACAATTAAAAATACACAATTTGAAAGCTCAACAGAATAAATCAAACAATGATAATCAAATGTTATCAACTATTAAATATCCCAATCTTACTCGACTGGATCTTTTGCATACTCATGATGATTATATTGAACTATTTTTATTTAATATGAAGATGTCTTTGCCAAATAACCTTCATCTTCGTGGTCGTTATCAATCACTGAAAAGAGTGACACAAAATTTTACAAGATATATAACAGAAAATAATTGTACTAAACTTGCTACTCTATATATTTTAATAGTGAATCAAACTGATGAATGTCATATCAAAAAATATTTTCCTTATACATGTATTCATAATAGTGGTGATTTTTTATTGTCTAAATAAAATAGGTCTAGTTGTATGTAATGAAATGGTTGAAAACGGCAAAACAGAAAGAATATATAACAAAGATAAGGGTGTGGTTGTGAGTGCGGGTGTGGTCACGACAGAAAATGAACTGAATACCCACATCCATACCCTCATGATCAAAAAGGTATTGATGGTGATATATTGAAGAAAGATATTATGATTCATATGCCACGATTATATAAATTCACATTTAATATTTACACAACTACTGAGTGTCGTAATCAAACCAATTTCCCATTAAATGAATCTATTGCAAAAACATTTAAAAATTATTCTAAATATAAAAACATTTTTTGTATTGATCATTTCGAATATGTCAAGTAATCGGGAAAATAAAAATTTGGAAAAAAGAAATAAATCATCTCGAAGACTTTGTCGTGTGTGGGTGTGAGTGAAAGGGTAACGATCTCTCACCCATACCCTAGTGTCAGCCATCGGTGGTCCACGTAGCCTCGAAAAGGTTAATGAAAGATGGAAAATGAGGCATGATCAAGTTTTTCTTTTTCGGTTCATTCGATGATGAATACACTTTTTTAAACATAATTCTCTGGCATCAATATGCATGTTGCCAACTTACGTGATTCATTAAATAATTCATCATATAAAAAAGCCCTTTTTCTCACTAGCAATTACCAAATAACTTACATGACTGAAAACGTTTTTTCTCCGTAAAAAGAAAGAAAATAATTCTTTTTCCCGGAAAAGCTCGATGTCTGGCAACCATACAACAATATTTCATTATTGCATTTTTGTCGTTCTGCATCTGTTGCTTTTCATACCAACATCATAAACAGCCAAAGAAAAAACATTTCGCAAGGAAATAGACACCTGCACAACCAAGCCGGTTTTGATTACTACTTCACTACTGAACTCTACACAGTCACTTAGATCGGAAGAATTCGCACAGTCAATAATGTACAGGAGAAAACCAACAGCAGCTATCAAATCAGATGGTGCAACAAGTGCACATGTAGTTCCAAAAGATGCAGAAGGTCCTCAACATATCGATATCCAACAGATGCAAAATGTTCTTCTAATCTGGTTAGACAGTAATATTGACGAAACAAATGACGACTGTCAAAATACAATCACTAAATTACGACGAGCTGTTAATGACACCAATACATTTACAGATGTTGATCAATGCCTTGAATTCATTCAAACAATCATCGACAAAAAAATATGTATGATCATATCTGGGTCACTTGGACAACATTTTGTGCCTCGTGTGCACAATATGTCTCAAGTTGATTCACTTTTTATATTTTGTGGTAACAAAAAACATCATGAACTATGGGCTAAAGATTGGCCAAAAATAAAGGGTGTCTTCACAGATATTACCCACATCTGTGAAGCAGTCAAGAAAGCTGCTCATCAATGTGAGCAGAATGCCATTCCCATGAGTTTCGTGAAAACAAATAAAAAGTTGGATCAACTAGATCCTTCTTTTATGTATACCCAAATCGCCAAAGAAATTATATTAACCATCCAATTCAAACAAAACCATATCCAAGATTATTTTGACTACTGTCGCGATGCTCCTACTGACAGCGAAGCAGATATAGGTAACATTAATCAATTAGAAAATCAATATCATAACAAAACACCCATCTACTGGTACACCAGTGACATATTCCTGTGTCCCATGCTCAATCGTGCATTGCGATTGATGAATGGTGATATCATCACACGGATGGGCTTCTTCATTGGTGATCTTCATCGACAAATTGAACAGCTGCATCAGGACCAATATGTTGGTACAACTGCTGCTAACTCCTTCACCGTTTACCGTGGTCAAGGTTTATCTAAAGAAGATTTTGAACAAATGACGAAAACCAAAGGCGGTCTGATTTCATTCAACAACTTCTTGTCTACCAGTAACGATCGTGACGTTTCCTATGCTTTTGCTGAAAGCAATCAGGTCAATCCGGATTTATTTGGAATACTTTTCGTTATGAAAGTAGATCCATCTCAACCAACATCAACATCACCATTTGCTTCAATTGCTGGGATTGGCAAGTTCCAAGAAGAAGAGGAAGTCTTATTTTCTATGCATAGCGTGTTCCGTATCCACGATATTAAACAGATAGGTGAAAATAACCGCTTGTATGAAGTTAATTTGACACTTACTGCTGACAATGATCCAGAGTTGTCTAGACTTACAGATTACATTCGACAAGAGAGTTTTCCAGACGATGAAGCCTGGTACAGATTAGGTATGGTACTAATTAAAATGGGCCAATCCAACAAAGCTGAAGATATTTATCAAGTTTTACTTGATCAAACTAAAGATGATAAAGATAAGTCGTCTATTTATCATCAACTTGGTGCGATCAAATATAGTCAAGGAAAATATGAAAAAGCACTTATATTTTATGAAAAATCACTTGCTATCGATCAAAAGACGCTTCCTACCAATCATCCTCATTTAGCTAATTCCTACAATAACATTGGTGCAGTGCATGCCGACATGGGTAATTATTCAAAAGCACTTTTATCTCATGAAAAAGCTCTTGAAATCAAACAACAATCACTTCCACCCAATCATCCTGATTTGGCTTGTTCCTACGAAAACATTGGTTTAGTGTATGATAGCATGCGTACGTATCTCGAAGCACTTTCATTTCATGAAAAAGCTCTTGAAATCAAACAACAATCACTTCCTTCCAATCATCCTGGTTTAGCTTGTTCTTACAACAACATTGGTAATGTGCATATAAAGATGTTTAATTATCCGAAAGCACTTTCATTTCATGAAAAAGCCCTTGAAATCAAACAACAATCACTTCCTCCCAGTCATCCTGATTTGGCTTCTTCATACGGTAACATTGGTAATGTGCATTACAGCATGCGTAATTTTCCAAAAGCACTCCCTTATTATGAAAAAGCCCTTGGAATTCAACAACAATCACTTCCTCCCAATCATTGTGATTTGGCTTCTTCCTACAACAACATTAGTAATGTGCAGTACTACATGGCTAATTATCCCGAAGCACTTTCATCTTATGAAAAAGTTCTTGAAATCAGACAAAAATCACTTCCTCCCAATCATCCTGATCTGGCTAAGTCCTACAACAGCATTGGTGCAGTGCATAATAGCATGGGCGACTATCCAAAAGCACTTTCATCTTATGAAAAAGTCCTTGAAATCCGACAACAAACACTTCCTTCCGGTCATCCTGATTTGTGTATATCCTACAACAACGTTGGTAAAGTGTATGAAAGCATGGGTAATTACTCAGAAGCTTTTACATTTTATGGACATGCTATACCGATTAGAGAAAAATGATTACCTTCAAATCATCCTCGTCTTCAAGACTGTAGAAGAAACCTCGAAGATGTAAAAAACAAATAATAATTTGTATTGCTATGAATCTTATCTTATGAAAGAGAAAAAATAAACTTTTTAAACAAGAATAGAATTGTTTTAAATGTACGCGCGCACAGAAAAACTCTAATCTTATTGAGACACAAATAGATGCCAACACCAATTGGTAAAGTAAACAATACCTATTAAAAGACATGTATTGTAGAAAAAAACTTCCACGCTATAAAACTATTGTGTCTTAACAAGGTAGAGTTTCTGTATGTTGAGTAAGGCAAAGAACGGCCGCTCAACAGGCTGTTAAAAGTAACGAAGAGAGGGAAACAGAACTGTATTTTATTCAGTACTGTGTATTACTCAGGTCGAGCTTGCACGGTCCTAAACGACAGTTTATAGGAAAAAACGGAGATCTACGACTGTCGTATATGTAAAAACAACTGCGCACTTTTATTAATAATGAGTATGTTTTGTTTAATTTAGTTCTTATATCAGATAGTTAAAATATATACAGCAAAAAGAGTTAATGTATTTGTTCTTAGTTTATTTTTATTTATTTTAGATTATTCTAATACACATGTCAACGAGCAAAACATATATTTTTATTCGTTATCTTTTTTGTTTTAGATCATTGTAATATACGCAACGACGTACAGTGAGTATATGTTATATTATTATGTGTAAACATAAACGAATAGTCAATATAGTTATTTTTTAAATACATTTTTATCCAGCAACAGGCCGTGGTTATACGATATTTGATCAAAACATGATCTTGTACGAAAGAAGTAATGGTTGACCTGGTTGGTTAAAAATTTATGAAAAGGTTGATGATTTGCTAAGGATACATGTACTTATTTAATTAATCATTATAACCCAGATCAATGATTTCTGAAGCAGTATTCCATAAACTTCCAGCAAAAATCATTAAGAAACTCACAGGTTTCGTCAGGAGCCCTGCCGTAAAATGCCAAGAACTCCACCGTGGAATCGGTT